CCATGGGCTCTAATTAATCCGCCTTTAATGTGCACGAATTCCGTGCGCTGGTCACTATAAAATGCATAGTGATTCCAGCCCAGGTCCTTCAGGCCCGGCCTCGCCTCCCGCCGCGCTGGAGGCCTCTGCTCTGCCGGGTCTGAGCCCCCCCCTCCCTCCAGGAGCCGGAGAGGGACCGGGAGCCCCTCTCCCCAGCCCACCCGCCCGGAGCCCGGAGCCCGGAGCCCGGAGCCCGGAGCCCGGCGGGAGGGGCCGCTCTCCTCTGCCAGCCCAGCCGGTGCGCTGGCTCCTGCGCCCGCCCGGCCCTGGCGCCGCCGGCGGAGACAGCGGTCCCCCCGCCGCCCCAGGTCCATCCCGCCCGGACCTCCCCGCGGGGCCGGAGATCTCGGGAGTCGCCGCCCTGCCCCCGGGGGGGGGCACGGCCTCCGGGGCCTCGGCTGCCCTTGTAAGGAGGCGAGGCCGGGACACCCGAGCCGCCAGTTATAATTAACCGGGCACGTGGCGCCCCCACCTGCCCGCGCCCCCCCAGCCCAGCCCCCTCCCTCCCAGCCCAGCCCCCTCCCCCAGCCCAGCCCAGCCCCCTCCCCCAGCCCAGCCCCCTCCCCCCCAGCCCAGCCCCCTCCCCCAGCCCAGCCCCCTCCCCCAGCCCAGCCCCCTCCCCCCAGCCCAGCCCCCTCCCCCAGCCCAGCCCCTCCCCCCAGCCCAGCCCCCTCCCTCCCAGCCCAGCCCCCTCCCCCAGCCCAGCCCAGCCCCCTCCCCCAGCCCAGCCCCTCCCCCCAGCCCAGCCCCCTCCCCCCCAGCCCAGCCCCCTCCCCCCAGCCCAGCCCAGCCCCCTCCCCCCAGCCCAGCCCCCTCTCTCCAGCCCAGCCCAGCCCCCTCCCCCCCAGACCAGCCCCTTTCCCCCCCAGACCAGCCCCCTCCCCCCCAGACCAGCCCCCTCCCCTCAGCTCAGCCCCCTCCCCCCCAGACCAGACCAGCCCCCTCCCCCCAGACCAGCCCCCTCCCCCCCAGACCAGACCAGCCCCCTCCCCCCCAGACCAGCCCCTTTCCCCCCCAGACCAGCCCCTTTCCCCCCCAGACCAGCCCCCTCCCCCCCAGACCAGCCCCCTCCCCTCAGCTCAGCCCCCTCCCCCCCAGACCAGACCAGCCCCCTCCCCCCAGACCAGCCCCTCCCGCCCAGCCCAGCCCCCTCCCCCCCAGACCAGCTCCCTCCCCCCAGACCAGCCACCTCCCCCCCAGACCAGCCCCCTCCCCCCCAGACCAGCCCCCTCCCCCCCAGACCAGCCCCCTCCCCCCCAGACCAGCCCCTCCCCCCCAGACCAGCCCCCTTCCCCCCAGACCAGCCCTCTCCCCCCCAGCCCAGCCCCCTCCCTCCCAGCCCAGCCCCCTCCCCCCAGCCCAGACCCCTCCCCCAGACCAGCCCCCTCCCCCAGACCAGCCCCCCCCAGACCAGCCCCCTCCCCCCCAGACCAGCCCCTCCCCTCAGCTCAGCCCCCTCCCCCCCAGACCAGCCCCCTCCCCCCAGACCAGACCAGTCCCCTCCCCCCCAGTCCAGCCCAGCCCCCTCCCCCCCAGCCCAGCCCAGCCCCCTAGCCCAGCCCCCTCCCCCCCACACCAGCCCAGCCCCCTCCCTCCCAGCCCAGCCCCCCCAGCCCAGCCCCCTCTCCCCCACACTAGCCCAGCCCCCTCTCCCCCACACTAGCCCAGCCCCCTCCCCCCCAGCCCAGCCCAGCGCCCTCCCCCAGCCCAGCCCCCTCCCCCCCAGCCCAGCCCAGCCCCCCTAGCCCAGCCCCCTCCCCCCCACACCAGCCCAGCCCCCTCCCTCCCAGCCCAGCCCCCCCAGCCCAGCCCCCTCTCCCCCACACTAGCCCAGCCCCCTCCCCCCAGCCCAGCCCAGCCCCCTCCCCCCCAGCCCAGCCCAGCGCCCTCCCCCCAGCCCAGCCCCCTCCCCCCCAGCCCAGCCCCTTCCCCCCCACACCAACCCAGCCCCCTCCCCCCTTCCCAGCCCAGCCCCCTCCCCCAGCCCAGGCCCCTCCCCCCAGCCCAGGCCCCTCCCCCAGCCCAGCCCCCTCCCCCAACCCAGCCCCCTCCCCCAGCCCAGCCCCCTCCCCCAGCCCAGCCCCCTCCCCCCAGCCCAGCCAGCGCCCAGGCCGCGGGCGGAGGAGGCAGCGGGACGGGCTCTAAAAATAACCCGGTGGGGCGGGCGCGTCCTCCGTCCCCTCCGCAGCGGGAACCTCCGGCCCCACCGGGCACCGGGCACCGGGCACCGGGCACCGGGCACCGCCCCGGCCTCCAGGGTGAATCTCACTCAGCCCAGCCTCAGTTTCCCCGCCCGCACCCCGGGGGGGGCACTGGCAGCGCAGGCTCCGGCGGCTGCCCGCCCGCTCCAGCGGGGCTGCTCCCTGCAGGGCGACAGGCCCGGCCCCTCCGGTGGAAACACGGGTCCCCCGGGGCGGCAGGTGTCCCCAGGGCGGGCTCAGGTCAAGGCCACGGGGACTGCGGAGGGAGGGGCCGGGAGGGGCCGGGAGGACGGGGGGGGGGGGCGCTACGTGCAGGCCAGTCCCCGGGTCCCTGTGTCCCTGGCGGGGGGCCCGCCGCTCAGGCAGCGGACTCAGCACTTGGCCAGGGGACCAGCGGGAGGCGCTGCCCGGCGAGGCCCATAGAAGGCCCGGGGCTGGGCGCAGGGCCTGCTGGGTCCGGGGCGGCACGGCGCCCGGCCGAGGTGAGGCCCAGCTGCCCCGGCCCCTCCCAGCCAGCGGCACAGCCAGCCCCACCCATATAAGCCGGGGCTGCAGGCGCCTCCTCGGGTCAGCACTGCCTCCCGGACACAGACAGACAGACAGCCAGCCCTTCCAGCTCAGCCCAGACAGGTACCGCCCTGGGGAGCCGGGAGGAGCCGGGGGGAGCGGGTGGGTCCGGGCTGTGGAGGGGCCTGGCAGGGGCGTGTGCCCCACACCCTCCTGCACATGCCCCCGGGGCTGCAGGGGGCGGCTGACCTGTGTCTGTGAGCCCCCGACCCCGGGCTGGTGGCCTCGGGCACAGGGTGCAGGGCGGACCCCGGAGAGGAAGGAGACGCGCCAGCTGCCCGCTGCCCCCGCCAGGGGCTGTGGGCGGCTCCGGGCTCCATGGTCCGTGCCCAGCCCCGGGCCGGGCGCCCACGCCGGGGAGGGTCTGTGCATGGCCTGCAGGGTCTCGGCGTGTGTGACCGTGTGGGCCCTGCTGCCCTCACAGGGCGGCGTGTCTGCCGGCTGTGGCTCCGCTCGGCGCCTGTGTCCTGGGTGTGTCTCCGAGCCGGGATGTGCGGGGACTGTTTATGGTGGTGTGTGTGTGTGTGTGTGTGTGTGTGTCTGTGTGTGTCTGTGTGTGTGTCTGTGTGTCTGTGTGTGTGTGTGTCTGTGTGTGTGTCTGTGTGTCTGTGTGTGTGTGTCTGTGTGTGTGTGTCTCTGTGTGTGTATGTGTGTGTGTCTCTGTGTGTCTCTGTGTGTGTGTCTGTGTGTCTCTGTGTGTGTGTGTCTGTGTGTGTGTCTGTGTGTGTGTCTGTGTGTGTGTCTCTGTGTGTGACTGTGTGTGTGTGTCTGTGTGTGTGTGTGTCTGTGTGTGTGTCTGTGTGTGTGTGTCTCTGTGTCTGTCTGTGTGTCTGGCCCAGGGGCTATTTTTGCCTGTGTCTCTAGGCTCGCCCGCCTCGCCTCAGCGCCTTCCCCGGGCTCTCCCCGGCAGGTCGGGGTTGGGTGCACCTCCGGAGGGGGTTCCGGGCTGGAGCCCTTGAGCCTGAGGCCCGGATGGTGTCCTCCCGGCCACCCCGGCCCACCTGTCCCAGCCTGCTGACTTGGTGCAAGCCGAGCCCCTGGAATGCAGGGGGGCAGGGGGAGGTGGCAGCTGGGGGGGGGGGGGGAGGAGTCTGCCAGACTCTAAAAATAACGTCCAAGCCTGGACAGCAGCTCCTAAGGCCTTTCACGGGCCCCCAGCCCCTCCCCCACCCTCAGCCTGATGCCTCAGCCTTCGCTTACCCCGTCCCAGTCTCCCCACCTTCCCTGGAGCGGGGTGAGCATCCGCGCCTGTCACTCCTGCTGAAGGTCCTTCTTCTCTGGGCCTTGTGAACAAAAGTAATAATAACAACAATAGCAACCACCCCCGTCGGTACAACTGGACGCCAGGGTATGAGCTCACAGAATCCTCCCCGAAACCCCTGCGGAAGGCTCCGTGCACAGGCCACAGAGGCCCAGAGAGGCTGAGCCACTGGCCTGGGGTCACACAGCAGGGAAATGGCTTAGGTGGGATTTGAACCCAGTTCTGTGGGCCCCAGAGGCTGAGCTTTTCTTCCCGACTGAGCCCTGCAGGAGACTTGTCAGCAAGGAGGCGGGGGCAGCCACCCAGCCCTCCTGCCCTCCCTGCCTCACCCCTTGACCCAGCTCACAGGCACTCCCAGCAGCACCCTGCACCCAGCACGCCAGCCCCTCACACGGGCCTTTAAAGCAACAGCAGCAGCAGCTGCGCAAAATGAAGGCTGGGAGTGTGGAGGGCACCACATACATTAACGTGCTTCACAGACATGAACTCCTTTGACCCTCCCAGCTTCCCCGAGGTGAGCTCTATTCTGGCCCCTATTTCACAGAGGGGTAATTTGAGGCACAGAGAGGTTAAGCAACCTGCCCGAGGTCACACAGCTTGTGAGTGGCAGAGCTGGGATGGAAGCCCAGGCTATCTGGTTGCAGGACCTACATGCTTAGCCAGGCCACCGTGACCACGCCAGCCCCAGCGTCCCGCTCCTGGGGAAACTGAGTCTCTCGCCAGGTTATGAGTCCAGCGTCACCTGCCGAGGTGTGGCAGAGCCGGGATTCCGATCCAAGACTCCCCATGCACCCTGGGCTCCGAGGGGGGCCCATTCGCTGCAAGTCACACCGCACGGGAGTGAGGACCCGCCTGTGGGTTCCCTGGCTGGTGGCTGCGGGCGGCGCTGACCCTCGGCTCCTCCTCTCCCCTCAGGCCCCCACGCCGCCGCCATGCCGTTCGGAAACACCCACAACAAGTACAAGCTGAACTACAAGCCGGAGGAGGAGTACCCGGACCTCACCAAGCACAACAACCACATGGCCAAGGTGCTGACCCCTGACCTCTACAAGAAGCTGCGGGACAAGGAGACCCCGTCGGGCTTCACCCTGGACGACGTCATCCAGACGGGCGTGGACAACCCCGGTGAGCCCCCGGAGGCTGCCGCCGGCCTCAGTGCTCCCGTCTGTAAAGTGGGACCATAGGCTCCTGGGGCTGTTGTGAGAATCAGCGGAGTCTGTGCGCGGGAAGGGCTTGGGACAGGGCCTGGCCCCAGCAAGTGCACAGGATTTCCTGTGAGGCTCCCCGAAGCCCCGGACTCTCCCGGGGCCCGGACAGGCTAGAGCGGTGCCGCTGCTGTGGTCCTTCTCCAAGGACACCCCAGCCTTGGCCCCAGCGCGTCCTGGGGTGCAGGAGAGAGGCCTGTGTCCCCCTCCAGGAAGTCAGGGGGCCGTGCAAATCTCTTATGTGGAAGCTGAGGGTCTTGGTTCTGAAACCAGATTCTGGGGAGGTCCCTGACCTGGGCCGGGGAGCGGGGATGTTTGAGCACCTTGTGCCCGGGCCTGGGCTCCTCCTCCTGTGCCCTGTCCCAGCCTCCTCAGCCACACGCTCCTGACGCTCCCAGCCGCCCCTCGATGTGACCCCCCCCCTCACTCACACATGTGCACACACACACACTCACACACACACACGTGCACGCACACGCAGTCCACACCACACCCAGAAGCCAGGCTGCGGGGGACGGGCACCCCTCACCTCGCCCATCCCCCCAGGTCACCCCTTCATCATGACCGTGGGCTGCGTGGCCGGCGACGAGGAGTCCTACGAGGTGTTCAAGGACCTCTTCGACCCCATCATCCAGGACCGGCACGGGGGCTACAAGCCCACCGACAAGCACAAGACCGACCTCAACCACGAGAACCTCAAGGTGGGCTGTCCGGGGGCGGAGGGGGGAGGGGAGGGAGGAGAGAGTGGGGGGACCCAGAGCCAGAGAAGATGCAGTTGGAGGCACTCAGAGAGACAGAGACACAGAGATCAGCAGACGGAGAGACACACAGGGAGAGGGACGGAAGCAGACAGACAAGGAGACAGGAACAGCAGGGAGTGGAGTGGTGGGGGAGAGGAGAGAGAGAGAGAGAGAGAGAGAGAGAGAGAGAGAGAGAGAGAGGAGCCAGGCACAACACAGACATATAGAAAGGGAGAAAGAGAGGATGGACAGAGTCAGACGAGGAGAGACAGGGAGATGAAGAGAAACAGAAGCAAGGGAAGAGCAGTATGGAGAAACAGAGACGGAGAGACAGAGACGGAGACGGAGAGACAGAGATGGAGAAACAGAGACGGAGAAACAGAGATGGAGAGGCAGAGACGGAGAGACAGAGATAGAGACAGAGATGGAGAGACAGAGATGGAGAGACAGAGATAGAGAGACAGAGATGGAGAGACAGAGATGGAGAGACAGAGATGGAGAGACAGAGACAGAGAGACAGAGACGGAGAGACAGAGACGGAGAGACAGAGCCAGGGCGAGGGGTGGGGAGCGAGGCCGCTGGGGAAGGAGGAGTCCCAGGAAGCAGCAGAGAGCCGTTGGGAACCGGGGGGACCTGGGGGCACCGCGAGGCTCTGACACCCCCCCTCCCCCGTCCTCCAGGGGGGAGACGACCTGGACCCCAACTACGTGCTCAGCAGCCGCGTGCGCACCGGCCGCAGCATCAAGGGCTACACGCTGCCCCCGCACTGCTCCCGCGGCGAGCGCCGGGCCGTGGAGAAGCTCTCGGTGGAAGGTGAGCCACGGCGCCCTCTGCTGGGCACCAGCCCGGCCTGCTCCTCCGCGGGCAGGTCTCTGGGCCCCAGGGACCCCGTTCCCTAAACGTGCGGGCTGCTTGGTCCCCCTGGTGCCCGGTGAGGGACAGGGCAGCAGTCCTCCTGGTGGGATGCCGAGGGCCCTGAGCGGATACAGTGGACACACACACAAAAACAAAACGAACAAACAAAAAACACCCTGATTTGCAGCTTCTGCCAACTCCTGTGGTGTGAATTCTCCTGTGATGGCCAATGTTAAGTTGTCCTAAAGGTGCCTAAGTATGATGTCATACAGAGATGGGAAGAGATGAACAGTAGCACACCAGTCTATAGCACTTCCACAGCCATGGTTCAAGAACATAGCTAATATAGAAATATAGAAAACTAGGAAGTTATGGTGCTGAGTATTTACCACCTTTGTTTTATTTAAAAATGTTAAATATATTTTTATTGATTTCAGAGAGGAAGGGAGAGAGAGATAGAAACATCCATGATGAGAGAGAATCATTGATCAGCCGCCTCCTGCACACTCCCTACCAGGAATCGAACCTACAACCTGGGCATGTGCCCTGACTGGGAATCAAACCGTGACCTCCTGGTTCATAGCTATGCCATCCAGGCTACCTTTGTTTTAAATATAATTTATTTAGTTTGTAAAGATTATTTTTAATTAGATAGTATATGGTATGTGATATAGAACATATAGTATAAGTTATAAATAATGTATATTAATAATGTATATTAATAATGTATATTAATGTATATAATTATGAGAGATAAATATGCATATGTTCAAATATACTTATATACATAATACATATTTATCATATAAATTATAATAATTTTAACTGATGGCTCCCCAAATCCTGAGGCTGTCTGTCCAGCCAGCCAGGAGGAGGGTCACCCCACACTAACACCTGCAGGTGGTGGATTGGACGTGAGGGTCCAGGGGAAGGGAGAATCGAGAATCGTGGTTTCTGGCTTGACACAGGATGTGCCTGCAGACAGGGGAGGAGCACGTCAGGGGGGTCATGAGTTTGGGATTGGACACGGCACTCGGGCACCTTTAGGACATATGGGGGGGGGGACAAGGCCCAAGCCCGTTAGAGGCAGCAGCGTGGGGTCCCCGGGGCCCCGAGGTGGGAGGGACAGGCTGCTGACCGCCCCTCCATGTGCCTCTCAGCCCTCAACAGCCTGACAGGCGAGTTCAAGGGGAAATACTACCCTCTGAAGAGCATGACGGAGCAGGAGCAGCAGCAGCTCATTGATGACCACTTCCTGTTTGACAAGCCTGTGTCCCCGCTGCTGCTGGCTTCCGGCATGGCTCGCGACTGGCCCGACGCCCGTGGCATCTGGTGAGACCCCTCCCCACCCCCGTCCCAGGCCCTGTCCCCCCTCCAACCTCCTCCACTCCCCCCGTGGTCCTTCTCATGCCTTCCCCAAAGTCAAGGCCGTAAGTAATTGTGTTCTCAAGGACCAGAAAATGACCCCCCCTCCCCCCGCCAACCCTGTGGGCTGCATCACATTTTGGGAAACTTGGACCAGAGAAGCGGCAGTTAGGACCTGAGACTTGAATGAGACTCTGGATTCAAATCCCAGTGCTGCCACTGACGGACTGGGTGACCGTGGCCCATCCCTGAAGGTTTCCCTCCCCAGGTTCCCATCCATAAAATAGAGATCACCCACTTCATAGCCGTTGGGGTTCTTGTGAGGGTTAATGAGTTCATGTATGTAAAGTATAGAAAACAGTGCCTGCCACATGATAAGTGCTCAGTACACCTTGGCTCTTAGTATGATCTTCGTGTGTGTGTGTGAGAATCCTCACCGGAGGATAATTTTCCATTGATTTTTTAAAAATACATTTTTAAAATTGATTTTACGGAGAGGAAGGGAGAGGGATAGAGTTAGAAACAGTGATCAGCTGCCTCCTGCACGCCTCCTACTGGGGATGTACCCGAAACCAAGGTACATGCCCCTGACTGGAATCGAACTTGGGACCCTTCAGTCTGTAGGCTGATGCTCTATCCACTGAGCCAACCCAGTTAGGGCTCCATTGATGTTTTAGGGAGAGTGGAAGAGAGAGGGAAAGACAGAAGCATCGATGTGAGAGAAACACTTCGATTGATTGCCTCCTGCACTAGCCCCAGCCTGGGCCTGGCGGGGAGAAGCCTGCAACCAAGCCCTTGATGGGAATCGAACCTGGGACCCTTTGGTCCCTGGGCCGACGTTCTATCCACTGAGCCAAACCGGCCAGGGCTAGTATGATCATTATTACTAACTGCTTTCTATAAACCTCTGAACCCCTGATTCTGATAGTCAAAGGTTTAACCTAGGTTACAAGTGAAAGGAGAGTGGGGAGCAGAGGGCCAAGATTTACAGATAGGATGCTTCTAAGATTTCAAGATTTTCAGGTTCTAAGATTCCACTCACTTCAGAGTCTGGGATTCCATGGTTTCAAACATTTTCAGACCCAGAAGTCACAATGTGATAAATTGCCGGGATGTCACAATGTGATATAGATTCTTTGGTCCTGATACCAGATATAGAATTTCCAATATTTATCAATCTTGACTCCGGGCTCTGCTGCTGAGATTCTAAGAGTCTGTACTTTCTTGCTGTTCAAAGACTGAAGATCCTAAGAGTCCTTGTTCCCAGGATTTGAGCTTTCCCAGGTCATGGGACTGGCGCTAGCCTGCAGGTGTAGGCTCTGCTTCTGCCAAGCACGTGCCACCTCCTCCTGCCCCTCAGCCCGCTGCCCTCCAGGGTGGGCATGTGTTTGGAGAGGGCAGGTCCCCGCGGAGCTGATTCCTTGGCCTCTCGCCGCCCCCCACCCCAGGCACAATGACAACAAGAGCTTCCTGGTGTGGGTGAACGAGGAGGATCACCTCCGAGTCATCTCCATGGAGAAGGGGGGCAACATGAAGGAGGTTTTCCGCCGCTTCTGCGTGGGGCTGCAGAAGGTGGGTGCCTGCCCTGGCGACGGACCTCTCACTCCACCCGGGACGCCCCGCCCCCTTTTCAAGGCCCCGCCCCTCTCCCCCACCCCGCCCCCAACGCCAGCTGCCTGCCCACGCACCCCCAGCCGCGCCCAAGGCCACGCCCACTGGCACCCGGCTCCTCCCCATACTGCCCAAGCCCCGCCCCTTCGGACGGTCCAACCCCATTTCGAAGGCCCCGCCTCCTGGGGAGCCCCCAGGCCCGCCCCTCAAGCCCCGCCCCCAAAACCCAAAGCTCCGCCCCTCAGAATCCTGCTGTCATCTGTGCCGTCGGCCCTTTCCGCTCAGCGTTCCCCAGCTGCGCCCCCTCAGAACCTGGCCCCCACGCACCCCCTCAGGTCCCGTCCCTCCCCACGCCGCCTGGGGGTGTTTGGGGGTGCCCGCTGGTGCTGACCCCTGGCCCTCTCCCCTGCCTCAGATTGAGGAGATCTTCAAGAAGGCCGGCCACCCCTTCATGTGGAACGAGCACCTGGGCTACGTGCTCACCTGCCCCTCCAACCTGGGCACCGGGCTGCGCGGAGGCGTGCACGTGAAGCTGGCGCACCTGAGCAAGCACCCCAAGTTCGAGGAGATCCTCAGCCGCCTGCGCCTGCAGAAGCGGGGCACAGGTGCGGCCGCGCCGTCGGGGGCAGGCCTTTTCCGGTGGCGGATGGGGAGTTGGGGGGGGTCCCCGCGAGTTCTGAGGGTCGGCGGGGGCTGCCCCTCCGAGCCTGTTTCTTCCCCTGCAAATGAGCATCAAAACAGCTTACCTCATAGGCGTTGGCTCATCACCATGGTTACACAGCACACCCTGTGCATGTCCCCGCCCCCTGGGGGCTTCAGGTTCCCAGCTAACGGGGCAGATGGAGGGGATGGGATCCCAGTGGGCCCGGCTCCAGAGCGCACCCTTGCCCCCCAGGCTACAGTTTCTGGCCGGATAGTAGGGGGGCGAGGTAACTGAAGCTGGAGGTGTGGCTCGCGATAGACAGCGCTTAGGAGGCTCTGGAGTCTGTGACCCTCAGTGCAGGCGGCTGTCCGGCGCGGGGGCGGCGCCCGGCCGCTCGGCACCCCGCTCCCTCCTCAGGCCCCGCTTTCTGCTCCCGCAGGGGGCGTGGACACGGCTGCCGTGGGCTCCGTGTTCGACGTGTCCAACGCCGACCGGCTGGGCTCGTCCGAGGTAGAGCAGGTGCAGCTGGTGGTGGACGGCGTGAAGCTCATGGTGGAGATGGAGAAGAAGCTGGAGAAGGGCCAGTCCATCGACGACATGATCCCCGCCCAGAAGTAGGCGCCCAGCCCGCCCGCCGCCGCCGCCCGCTGGAGCCCCAGCCGCAGGGGAGGCCCCGCCCACCGAAGACACGCCCACTCTCATGCCCCGCCCCCGAGGCCGGCCTATCAGGGTCTGGTCCCCAAGGAGCCCTATCCAATCAGAGTTCCAACCAATGGGCTCCGTCCTCTGGGTTCTGGCCAATGAGAAACCTCTCCTTCCCCCAGAGCTCGGCAATGGAGAGCATCCCACACACACGTGGCGCTCATGCTGGTTTCCACTCTAAGCAACGAATAAAAGCGATGGTGGCCTTAACGTTGTGTGCAAGTTACTGAGGGAGGAGGAGGGGCTTTTGATCCCTGGCTGCTATGTGACCTCGAAGTGGTTTGTCCTCTCCAGGCACGTTCTATCCCAGATGAGGCAGTTAGGGTACAGAGTGTCATCCAAAAACTGTAAAGCTCTAGGGAATCTGAAACCCGAAGAGGTGTGGCCCAGGGTCAGATAGCCGTGCTTGGGCAACCTTCCCAGCCTCGCCTCCTGCTCACACTTGGCTCAGATCTCAAGCACAGGGTGCGTGAGGGAGAAACCCAGGCCACAGTGCCCGAGACTGGAAATAGGCACAGGCTTCCAGCTGAGCCCGCCTATGCCTGTCCTCACCACTGCACCTGTCACGCCCCCGCTGGCCCCCTGTGGGGTCTGACTGCAGCGCTCTGTGTTGCTACCCGTCTTTCCAACTTCCCTTTGCCCAAGAACCTGCCGGAGCTCCTGCGCCTCTCAGAAGGCATCCTATGATTTGTCCAGCTGGCGTGCACTATTTGAGGCTCATTTTTTCCTGTTCTTTTCCCGCGGTTCCTCTATAGACTCTTTGCTCCTTACACTTGCAAGTTCCACCTTCATGTCTTTGCGAAAGCCGTTTCCTCCTCCAGCAGGGACTTGGGGCCGAGTATCCCCGTGAAGTCTTCAGAGACTGGCCTTTTGGAGAGCTTGGTCCTGAGAAAGAGCAGGAAGGAGGGAATGGAGGCCCAGGGAGCCCCAAGAATTCCAGGAGAGACAGGATGTCCTTTCCAAGATTGTCCCCAACTGAGGACCCATCACTAAGCCCAGCGCCACCCGAGGCCACATAGGTCACGGCCCTGCAGCAGGGCAGGCTGAGACAGATCCGCAAACCAGGCGTCTGGCAGCTGCCATGCCCACGCTGCCCGTTTTGCCTCGTATGTCTTAGACCCACCCTTTTCCTCCCCCGCTTTAGTCGGTCCTGCCTCCACGCCTTCCTCTTTTTAAAATTCTTGATGAGAGAGATCTGTTGTTCTACTTATCTATGCATTCACTGGTTGTCTCTTGTATGTACCCTGACGGGGAAATCAAACCCACAACCTTGGCATGTGGGGACAATACCCTTACCAACTGAGCTACCTGGCCAGGGCCCTCTTCCCCGGGGTCTCCTTCCCTCCCTTCACAGCACAGACCTTCCCTTGCTCACCGCCAAGGGTTCCCCGAGGCCCTCAGAATAGGGCCCAGAATCTACAAGGGCCTGTCCAGCCTCCTCTCACCCTGAATCCTATGCCATCTCCTGAGGAACCTGCACCCCCCTGCTTCCCAGCCAGCCAGTCACACAGGCTGTCCCTCTCTGCACCCACCCCCACCTCGCCGCTCCTTTCAGGCAGCCTCCGTGGCTGAGGCTGGCTCCCCTGTGGACTGCCCCCCCCCCAAGCACTGCCATTTGGCTCAGTACCAAGGACACAGCTGCCTCCTTCACTGAACCGAGCCCTGAGGGCAGGGCTGGGGCTGTCTTTGTCACCACGTGTCCCCAGCACAGGGACGCTCCCCACCCCTGCTTTCCTGGCCTCTCAACTATAAACGGCTTTCAGCAGCTTGCTTTTCTGGTCTCCCTAAGACAGGGCTGCTTCTGCCCCAGCCCCTGAATTTTTCAACACCGATCAGTCTTTGCCACCCTTTCTCCCTCATGACATCCCTATCAGCCTCATGAGGGGTTAGGGTTGACCTTACCGTGCCCCAAGTGGGCAACCGAGGCAGTTAGGGCTCCTCCCTGCACACAGCCCTCACAGCTCTTCAGTGCCTGGGATAGAAGCCCAGCTCGCTCACTCTGGCCACAGGGTGCCGGGTGCACAAGACCTGCTTCCTGCACTGGACAGTCCTCAACTGCTTGTCTGTCAAATACACACTGAGGGGCCAGGTTATCATGGGCTCTGAACGCATAATCATCTGGCCACTCAGTGCACTTCATTTTATCTGGTTTCCAAGGTATTTTAAATCATGCACCTGATCAGTTTTCCCCTTTGCACTGGCTGATAGCTCAGGGCAAATAGGTAGTTGATCTCCAGCAAAAGTGTAAAATACTTTTGGTACCCATTTGAGATACAGATACAGAGTGGCCAGATTTTTATGTGTTCAGAGATCATAACAATCTGGCCACTCAGTGTATATTGTTATTCCTCATATGATGATTTTTCCATTGTTGTTCAGAGTGGAAGGGAGGAAGGAAAACATCTATGTAAACGCGGGGGGGGGGGAAGGAGGGGGAGAAGAGGGGGCAGGGAGCAAATATGCAACCCAGGTATGTGCCCTTGACCGGGAATCGAACCTGCGACCCTTCAGTGCATAGGCAGACGCTCCGATCACTGAGCAACCAGCCAGGGCAACTGCTTGTCTATTGAATTTCCATTTCCCTGCTGTTCAGGACTCATTGACTTTCCTCTGGGAAATCCCTACATACAGCTCCTGCTACCCGAGTCTCAACAATTGGTTGGAGGATGGTCACATGACCTATCCGAGCCAATGAGAAGCTGTCTTGGAACTTTTGCTGGAAGTTGGCACTGAGGAACTTTCTGCTGCACGAACTAAACTGGAGCGATGAAAGTTGGAACTGCTGGGGTCACTTTGCCAATAGGGAGTGTCTACTGGATAAAACTGCTAGAATGGAACTCGCTGGGGAAAAAAAAAAAAAAAAAAAAAAAAAAAAAAAAAAAAAAAAAAAAGCAGACATGAGCTGGCCTGCTGCCTGGACCCACCCACACCCAAAGTCAGGCACCTATTAAATAACAAGCAAATAGCTTTTGGCTTAAATGCAGATGGATTATTAGTCCTAATTCAGCATTGATCTTGCTAATTCTCCCCTTGCCACACACACACAGCAGCCCCACTAAATTACCCATGGTTCTCTGCAGACACACCACGCACCCCAGCTTTTGCCTGGGCATTCCCGATACCCGGTGAACTCCAACTCATCCTTCCGAACCCAGCTCTGCCATCGGCCTTCCTCAGCCTCCTTTTCTTCTGGGATCCTCAGAACAATGGTTTCCTTCGTTTGTCATAACCCATGGCCCCTGTACACGGGGCTGCTTATGTCTCCATGTCCAGCAGTGGGCCCGTTCGGAGTAGGCACCGATCAATGACTGTTTATTGGATAAATGTACTACTGGAGTAGGAAGTGGCTTAGAGTCCAGTATAACATGTGGATGGGCACGTGAGTAGATGAACGGGGGTCCCACCTAGGAACTGGGGGCCTGCGGATGAGGCTGAGTCCTTGACCCTCACACGCCCACTGCTCCCATTCTGCAGATGAGAAGACTGAGGCTCAGAAAGGAGAAACCACTGGCCCAAAGTCACACCCCTCCTCTTCACCTCACCTGCGGATGAGGGCAGGGAAGGAGAACCCCAGGGACAGCGTGGAGGAGGGGGGACTTTCCTAAGTTTATTGGACGACAGGCTGCGGGTGAGGGGGCCGAGAGAGGAGGAGGGTGGGGGTGTAATAACTTAAAAACCGGAGGTGACAGTGGCAGCTCCTCAGAGATCTCTGCAGAGGGAGGGCGTGGGGGTATTTACAAGGATTTGTACAAAGTGCCCCGCACCGGCCTGGGGTGGGGAGGGGCGTTCGAGCACGAGGGACGGGGGAAGGGAAGGAGTCTGCCTGATCCCCACTCCCAGCCCCCAATTCGCCGTCTACAGGCTCAGCAACCCCTCCTGCCCCGGCCCAAGGCCCAATCTTGAGCTGTCGGGAGGGATGGAAAAGTGTCCTCGGTGTTCCTCCTGCCCCCACCCTGCCCTGAAGTCTCCTCGGTGCCCGATGCGGGGAGCGGAGGGTCAGGACCGGCCGGAGGCGCCCCTGCTGAGCCCCCTCACCCCCTCGTGCCGAGCTTCCCCCGAGAACAGCAGAGGAGACAGTCTGTGCCCCCAAATCCAAGTCAGAGCAACCGGGGACGACAGGGCGCACGCCCTCCGCGGCCCCTGGCCTCCCGCGGGAGTGAGGGAGACGGGGAGCGGACGGGACGGGGCCGTGGCTCAGAGCTCGAGGTCGTTGGAGATGCGGGTGACGAGGGTGCGGAAGGCCAGGGCGGTGCCCGCCACGCGCCGGAAGAGAACGCCCCGCAGGCCCGGCCGGGGCAGCTGGCAGACCTCCACTTCGAAGTGGGACAGGGGCTCGGGCCCGCCCGCACCCCCGTGCAGGCAGGCCAGCAGGAACGGCTGCGGCTGGCGGCAGCGGCAGCGGGCGGCCGCGGTGGCCTGGCGCAGGGCTGCCATCAGGGCCTCGGGCGGGCGCGAGCTGGTCAGCTTCACACTCCAGGGGAATCGGAGCAGCCGGGGGGCGGTTTCCGCTTGATCCCAAGGTAGATGGCAACTGAGGAGGGGAGACGGCAGAGGTCACAGGGAGGAGAGGAGAGGAGGGCAAGCCGCTGTCCCCTCCTCCGGACAGACCCCTCGATGTCCCCGTGGAGCCTGTCACCTTGTCATCCCCAGGGCCAAGTTTCAGCTGGACACACAGCGGCCACCCAGCCAGGGACCACACTTCCCAGTCTCCCCTGCCGCTGGGCACGGTCTTTGCCTCCAAATCCAAAGAGGCAAGTGGAGGTGACACGCGTGCACCTGCACATACATGACCCCCTTCAGCGGACACTGCAGGCCCGGACCCTCTGCCCAGGTCCTCTGAGGCGGCCTCTCTCGTGAAGGTGGCACAGGCTCCAGGGCAGTGGCTGCCAACCTTCCTAATGCAGTGGCCCTTTAATACAGCTCCTCCATGTGGTGGTGACCCAACCATGTAACTATTTTCGTTGCTACTTCATAACTGCAATTTTGCTCCTGTTATGAATCGTAATGTAAATCTCTGTGTTTTCCGACCGTCTTGGGCGACCCTGCTAGCGGTTCTCAACCCGTGGGTCGCGGCATTGAGAACCGCTGATCAAAAAGACGGTGATGCAAGAACCTCAACCACCTGATGAGCCTGGGGAGCGGAGGGGCCCTGGCCTGGCCACGTGGTTTGTGTAAAAGGGAAATGTATTCCTGTCTCTTTTGGGGTCTCTGCGCCAGCAGCTGGGCTTGTTCTTCACTAACACATCGTTCTGATGAGAACAGTCCCTTTTCCCTTGGAGGACCAACCTTCTCCACTCTAGACCACGCTTCTCACCAAGAAGGGGACTTGGAAATTTCTGGGGCTTTCTGATTGTCGCTCTGTCTCGGGAGGGGCGCACTGGGGGCATTTATTAGCTTGTGTGTGGGGAGGGTCAGGGACGACACAGGTTCTGCAATGGGAAGAGGGCCCCGCACAACAGAGACATACCCTGCCTCCAGCACCAAGGGCGTTCCTTCCGGAAGCACTGCAGAGCTAGTCTTTCTGGTTTAGGTGGGCTGACTGGCTCTCAGTGCCAAGGGTGGGCACATGACTCAATCCTGGCCAATGAGAGCATTCCATCTCCCTGGCCACTGTGATTGGCTCAAGGATGAGCACATGATTACATCTGACCAATCAGAAGAATACTCCATCGTCCGCCATAGGTATTGGTTTGGACATGTGACAAAGCCCCAGCCAATGAGAGTCAGTCCTGGGACTTTGTAGGAACTCCCGGGGCAGCTCTTTACTTCCACTGGGGGAGTCTCTAAACTGGTATCCTGTCAAACTCAAGTAGGGCTTGGCAAAGTATAGCACTGCTTGCTTTTTGTAAATAAAGTTTTATTGGAACATAGCCAGACCCATTTGTTTGTATCGAATATAACCACTTTTGTGCTACAATCGCAGACCTGGATAAGCATGTCAGACGGATGAGCACTCAAAGTCTAAACTACTCTCTCCCGGGACTGTTAGATTCTGTCTGCACAGCTGGCCCAGGCTGCTGGCCACCGTTCGGCTCACGGGAGGAGAGGAAAGGTGGGGTGTGAGCAGGGGAGGAGCTGTTACAGATGGGAGAGGCTGAAGTTAGAGACTGTCAAGAGAAGGTGCTGCCGAGACCGGTTTGGCTCAGTGGGTAGAGCGTCGGTCTGCGGACTGAAAGGTCCTGGGTTCGATTCGGTCAAGGGCATGTACCTTGGTTACGGGCACATCCCCAGTAGAGGGTGTGCAAGAGGCAGCTGATTAATGATTCTCTTTCATCGATGTTTCTAACTCTCTATCCCTCTCTCTTCCTCTCTGGGAAAAATCAATAAAATATATTTAAAAAAAAGAAAAAAAGATTTAGCATTAAAAAAAAAAGAGGAGGTGCTCCACGATGGGTGGAAATGAGGGGCATCTGCAGGGCAGAGGAAGAGCTGCTGGTTGAGAAGGGAGGGTCACAGGGGGATTCAGGGAGTTGGCCTTAAAGGTGAGACTCAGTCCCACTCAGGACCCGGGGGAGGTATTGGGGTCTGAGGCCCGTGCGGGAGAGGGATGGTGTGGCAGTCACATGACCCCACTTACCTTGTGACCTCAGGTCCCCCGATTCTCTCAGGTTCGTCTGAGACCCTAGGGGAGGACAGGGGGCCAGAGTGTTTAACCTGGAAACGGGGAGCCTCCTCTCCCCAACCCGTTGCCTCCAAGACCCTGCCCTGGCCCCGTGCCCCCTGCTGGCTGAAGCCGGGCAGAGGAGGGCCCAGAGTCGAGATTGGCTCTCCTTTTCCATTCTGAGATGGTTAGTGCAGGGCGTAGGAAAGACTGCGGAGTTTGGAAGACAAAAGCAGCAGGCAGGCGGGCAGAGACCCACAGGGAGAAGGGGAGACACACACGCACGCGCACCCCTTCCTCAGGCTTTGCTCCAATGGCACCTCCTGTGAGGCTGCCCCGTGGAGAGCCGCACCTTCCCTTTCCCACACCCCTGCCCCCTCCCCTGCCCTAGTTTTCTCTTCCGGACTTGTCACTGCCTGGCAGTCCATGTATGTTCCTTATTTGCTGCTCACTGTCTGGGTGCCTTGTGGAATGCTGGCTCTGCCCGGGCAGGGCTTGGCAAAGGACGTCTTGTTCATGTACCCCAGGGCCAGGATGGTGCACACACATAGCAGGTGCTCAGTGAATAATAACACAGGCAGACATTTATAAAGCATCTCCCAAGGCAGCATTCTAAGCTCGGCCCATATACCACCTCACTTAGTCCACGCAGCGACCCTGCTGCTATGACCATCCCCATTTTACAGAAGAGAAAAGCGAGGCCCAGAGAGGCCGAGCGGCCTGCTCAGGTCCCTCAGCAGAGCTGGGGTCTCAACCTCCTGAGCCTGGCTCCAGAGGCCAGACTATTGTTTATTAAGTGAGTGAATGACCCCACATACAGACCCCGCTCCCACGCCCAGCACCCCCGCCCCCCACGCCGGCACACACAGCTCGGACATGCGGACGAGGAGGCGGAGCCAGGGAGAGCGGAGGGTGGACAGGACTTACTGATCTTGGATCCCTGGGGCAAAGAGGCGCCCGAAACGCAGCGGTTAGAGTTCTGCCGTTTAGAGGGATCGAGGGTAACCCTGCAGCGTGAGGAGGGAGTGAAGGTGACGGAGGAGGAGGAGGAGGGTGAGGCGGAAGTGGAGGAGGTGATGTCGAGGTAAAGGAGGCAGAGTTGAGTAGGAGACAGGTAAGGCCCATCAGCCCCCAACCTCGACCCCTGTCCCCCGTGTCCCCCGTGGGACTCACCTTCGGGTCAGTTTGGAGGTCAGCTTGGTAAAGAGGTTGGTGGTGGGGCGGGGCCGCCCGGCGGGCAGGGGTGTGGCCTCGTGGGCCAGCGTGGGAGAGGCCGGGGGCCCGTTCTGCACGCCCCCGCCTCCCCCGCTCCCTGCCCGCCGGTCCCGGACCTGGCCCCCGTGGAAGGTGCTACGGATCGTGGAGCCCCGCGCCAGGCGGCTCCGCTCCCCGGACGGGGGAGCCAGGCTGTGACTGGAAGGGGAGGCGGGGGGCACCCGTGGGGTACCCGAGCTGTGGGCAGAGAGGAACAAGTCAGAGAGGGACCCCAAGGCAGGCCAAGTCCCCAATCCAGATTCTTCCCCGTCCTGAGATCAGAACCTTCTCCCCACCAAGAGCTCAGAGAAGGGCGAGCTGTGCCAGCTGTGTCTGCACCGGCCCCTCCACAGGCCCCCTCCACACCCGTCCCTCTTCAAACTCTGCCCGCTCCCCACTGCCCCCCCCCCACAGCCCCCTTTCTCCAAACCCAGCACTGGATAGATTCAGATACATTTCTGGGTGAATCCTTTGCTATTTGCCATTCAAACCTCAGGAGCCAAGTCAACTTCGCAAATACTCTGCTATCTCACCCCCATTACCCAAACGTGGGAAATGAATAGATGTGTACGTCAAGGGTATTCATATTCACTGTAACAATTTCTCAACAGGTGAAAATAAAAAGGAGGGACCTGCTTCTGAACTCTCTCAAGATGGCGTGTGAGCACTGGTGACCCCACTGTCCCAGAGCCCTCCTCCAGCCCCTCCAACACTCCCAGTTCTGACAGCAGGGCCCAAATTCCAATCTCCAGCCTGGAACTCAAAGAGGGAACCATGACTGTGGCAGATGCCACTACCTCTCCCCTAGAATCCAACCTTCTAGTTTTTCAAACCTTTAACTAAGACATGAGTTCAGCACAGGGCCACCCAGCCAGAGACTACATTTCCCAGCCTCCCTTGCAGTTAGGGGTGGCCATATGACCACGCTCTGGCCAATAGAATAAAAACAAAAGTGCTGCCGAAACCGGTTTGGCTCAGTGGTAGAGCATCCGCCTGCGGACTGAGGGGTCCCGAGTTCGATTCCGGTCAAGGGCATGTACCTTGGTTGCGGGCGCATCCCCGGTGGGGGGTGTGCAGGAGGCAGCTGGTCGATGTTTCTCTCTCATCAGCGTTTCTAGTTCTCTATCTCTCTCCCTTCCTCTCTGTAAAAAATCAATAAGATATATATTAAAAAAAAAAAAAAAAAGTGCTTGGTTCTATTGCTGGGTCTAAAAAGAATGCTGTTTGCCCTCTACTTTCTTTTTTTTAAAATATATTTTTATTGATTTTTTACAGAGAGGAAGAGAGAGGGATAGAGAATTAGAAACATCAATGAGAGAGAAACATCGACCAGCTGCCTCCTGCACACCCCCCACCGGGGATGCGCCCGCAACCAAGCTACATGCCCTTGACCGGAATCGAACCCGGGACCCCTCAGTCTGCAGGCCGACGCTCTACCCACTGAGCTAAACCGGCTTCGGCTCTTTTTTTCTTTTTAATAATATCTTTATTGATTTCTGAGAGGAAGGGAGAAGGAAGAGATAGAAATGTCAATGATGAGAGAGGATCATTGATTGGCTGCCTCCTGCATGTCCCCTATTGGGGATCAAGCCTGCAACCCAGGCATGTGCCCTTGACTGGAATTAAACCTGGGACCCTTCAGTCCAAAGGCTGACGCTCTATCCACTGAGCCAAACCAGCTAGGACTGCCCTCTACTTTCTTTCTGCCCCTCTGGCTGTTTGGGAAATGGTGGCAACTGCGGCCGTGGCCTGAGACCCAGACCTGAGCCTCATGTTGAGATCGGCGGAATCCATCTGGGTTCTCAGAGGACTAACCCTCCCCCTCATTTAGGCCATGACGCCTTGGGGTCTCCTGGTTTCAGCAGCTGAGTCCATAACCTAACTATACACTGTCTCCCGACTAGAACTGGAAGGCCACGCATTGCCATGGTTACAAACACAGACTCTAGAGTCAGTCTAGCATCTCTGCTTCTTGATTCACCAGCTGTGTGGCCCTGGACAGTTTACCTAGCTTTTCTGTATCTCATTTTACCTCACAAGGTTCAGGGCATCCCACCGGCTGAGGTGCAGAGCCTGGCACAGGGTTCCCGCTTGGTGATTAGCATTTTTATATTTTTATATTTTATGGTGGGCAGAGTCCCCCCGCCCCCACTCCTGGACTTGAACCCTGACATGAACCAATTCATTCCCTTTCGCCTCCAGCCAGTCTGCACTGGTTCCCTCACTCGCCAGCTGAGAGAGGCTGAACAGACACGAGCAAACAAGTTTGAACACAAGCCAACCAGAGGATGCGGAAGCTGTGACATTCTGGGCTTCTAAGTTCTAAAAATGGATCATTCAAAAAAAAAATAAACTCCGATTTCTAAGGCTCGTGGGCAGGGAACAGGGCAGACTGCTTCCCGGTGCTGACTAATTAAGGGAGGAGGACGTTCAGGGGAGTCTGGGAGGGGGAGGACTTGGCACATTCTGCCACGGGCAGGGCAGATAATACCCTCCCCAGGACCCACGGCACCCCTGTCCCCCAACATCTCCCCCTCTCAGATCAAGGGGGCCCTGCTCACCTCCCCCCACGCCCCGCCCCCTTTCTCCACTGCCGCCCGCTCCATACCTGTTTTCTTTGCCATTTGGCAAGAGGGATGGGCGCTCAGCCCCTGGGCGTTCCGTGCAGACGTAGGTGTTCCTGCGCGTCATCATGCTGGGGGGGAGGTTGTTCTGTGGGAGACAGGCCAGGAGGGAGTGAGGGCACAAGGGGACACTCCTGACCCCTCACGCTTACCCTCCCTGGGCTCCCTCATCATGAACACGGAGAGGCCTGTGTGTAAACTGGCAGTTTACTCTGGGTTGAAGAAACCGAAGACCCGAGGCTCATGGGCCATCCCAGCAACTCGGGGGAGTCACAGGAGGCTGGGAGGAGGGAGGGTCGGGAGGCTCCGGGGGCAGCCCAGTCCACCTCTCCCGCCACCCCCCCCAGTACAGACCAACCAATTTTTAAAACACATTCATGCTACACGGTGTCTCTTCGCGCTGCCTGTGCACAGACGGTCTCTTCTGCTTGGATATTCCTCCTACCTCCCCTGACTCACTCCTGTGTACAACTGAGGTGTCACTTCATGATGCACCCCCACCCCCAGCTCCAGACTGAGTCAGGGCCGCCTCTGGCCCCCCCAAGGCAGCCTCCGTCACTCGGCGCTGCAACATCTGTTCCCCTGCTCGTCCCTCCCCACAGAGCCGTGAGCTCCGAGGACAGAAATATCCCGGCTGCCGCCGCCTCAGCCGCGCTGGGACTGAGCCCTCCTCTCGCCCAGGCTGCTGTCTGAGGCTGGTGTTTCTTATGTTTGGAAGCGTTCCGCCCGTTTAGAGCCATCTGGGTCTGGAATTTTCTTTATGGGAAAGTTCTAAATGATGGAGTCTATTTTCTTTAATAAGAATATGCGACTGTTCAGGTTTCCCACTTCTTTCTGTGTCCGTTTGGTTCACTCTGTCTTTAAGGCTTTTGTCCATTTCATCTACGTGGTCAAATCTATTGGCTTAAAGTAGCTCCTACCTCCTTCTCGCTATCTCTTCCCGTTACAACAGTCCCCTTTCCATCCCGATGTTGGCGATTCGTGTTTGCTGCCTTCTTTCTGTCAGTCCTGCTCGGGGTCCGGTGCTTTTACCCACCTTTCTATGCACCAGCTTCCGGCTCTGTTGGTTTTCTCTAGTGTACCTTTGTTTTCCCTTTTATTGACTTCTATTATTTCCTCCCTTCTCCTTTTTGGGGGGCTAATTTGCTGTTCCTTTCCTCCCTCCTTAAGCTGTGGGTGTATTGGAGCTCTCAGGGAGTGCTCACTGAGCCAGACACTGCGTGCAGTACTTTATGTTCAAGATTCTCTTCTCACAATGACCCAGGCTTTTAATGAGCTCATTTCACAGGATGGAGTCCTAAAGCTCAGAGAGGTAGAGTCACTTGCTCAAGGACGCACAGCTCATCGGTGTCATTCAAACTTCGGTCTCTATGGCTTCAGCGTCCGGACCCCTTTCCTATCACCTGCTGCACCCGGTCTCCCCCTGTCGAGGGCATTTTGGTTCCCCCGCTGCACCATTCCCCTCCAGGAAGCTACAGACGCCACGTCTACATCCTCAGACTCGCCGGCAGCTCAGGTTCTGGACAGGAACGGGCCCTGCCAACCTTCTCACTCATGAAGCCCCGACTTCTGCTCTCACAGGCCAGGTCCTGCGGGCCCCACGCCCTCTCCCAGGTGCTGAGGGCACGGGGCCTCTGGGTGAGGGTGAAGTCCTGGGGGCTCGCACTGGAGCCCTGACCGTGTGTGTCCTGGAACTGCAGGGCTGGAGGCAGCCCCAGAGGGGGCAGCTCCCGATGGCTCTGGCCTGCTGACGAGGTGTCATGCCCACAGGTCTAGTCCTTCGCCTGCTTCTCCAGCCTTTCCTACAATTTGGCAAACACCACAGCCAGTTCCCTGTATTAAATCCTTCCTGCCCAAGGCACGCTGTATGCTTCCTTCGGACTCTGAATGCTAATTTACACATGAGCATCAAGCACAAGATCCATCAGAGAGAACGCTCAGCAAAGGTTTTTGAATGAATGAGTGCGTGAACGGATGAACAAGGAGTCCCCTGTGTGGTCTGGGGTGCAGGATGGGAATCGCCTGGTCTGAAAAGATGGAGCCCAGTGGCACTGTAGGCCGGGCCTCGTGGTCGCAGCCCCGCCCCTGCCCCGCCCGGCCCGGCCGCTCACCGGGGTGCTGGCGCTGTCCTTCCGCCGCTCCGGGATCTCGGCCTTGTTGGGGTTGTGGGCGCTGCTGACCATCGGGCTGGACGGGGGCAGCCCCCGGCTCCCGCTGCCCGCAGCGCTGCAGCTCGCCTTCCTGCTGGGCAGGCGCTCCTCCTTCAGCTCCGCCTCCCCCGTGCTGGTGGGGCTGCGCTTGGGGTGCAGGGGTGCGGGGGACGGGCCGCCTGGTGGAGGGAGGGGACAGTTAGGGTGGCACCCCCTGGAAAAGCCGGGACCTGCACTGGGTGATCTGGGAAGCTCAGCATCCCTCGCCGGGGCCCTGTCTCTGCGCAGGCCTGACGGGGGCCGTCAGAGTGACCCAGAAGTTCCACGGGGATAGGATGCCCGTGGAGGCAGGCTATGCCGGCATCATCCTCCTCTCTTAGGGCCAGAGACTGGGAACAGCTTAAATACCACGAATAGTTAAATAAGTCAAGGTATTTCCACACACGGAATACTATGCAGCCATGAAGAATGAGAACGCTCCACCCAACCGACATGGCTCATTGGTTGAGCATCGACCTATGACCAGGAGGCCCCCCTTTGATTCAGGTCAGGCACATGCCCGGGGTGCAGGCTCAATCCCCAGTGTGGGGTGTACAGGAGGCAGCTGATCCATGATTCTCTCTCATCATTGATGTTTCTATCTCTCTCTCTCCCTCTCCCTTTCTTTCTGAAAACAATAAAAATAAAAAATAAAAAGAATGAGAAAGCTCTTTATGTAACAAGAGTGATTTTTAAGACAGACTGCAAAGCAGGCCTACACGGTACTATCATTTGCATAAAAAAGGAGAAAAGTGCCATCTCTAATCTACCGTATCTCCTCGTTTATATATGAATATCTCCAAAGAGCTATCTTCTGCATCAAGAGAATATTACCTTTACGGTAAACTGTTTACATAGTATTTGTATCTTTGTATGCCCCTTTCTTTCTCCTTTTTGTCTTCTCTCTCTCTCTCTCACTATATATGCGCACGCACACACACACACACACACACACACACACACACTTATTCACAAAAGGACATTTTCCCCATTGATTTTTGGAGAGAATGGAAGGGAGGGAGGGAGAGGGAGAGGGGGAGAGGGAGAGGGAGAGAAAGAGAGAGAGGGAGAGGAGAGGGAGAGGGAGAGAGGGAGGGGGAAGGAGATGGAAAGGGAGAGGGAGAAGGAGAGGGGCGGGAGAGAGAGAGAGAGAGAGAGAGAGAGCGCGAGAGAGAGAGCAACATCACTGCAAGAGAGACACACTGATTGATTGTCTCCCGCACGTGCCACAACTGGGGCCAAGAATGGAACCTGCAACCCAAGTACGTGTCCTTGACCAGGAATCGAACCCAGACCCTTCAGTGCACAGGCCGAGGCTTTAACCACTGAGAACCACTGGCCAGGAATACCTCATTATCTCTCGCTATAAAACCCTAATATGCAAATAGATCAGTGGAACAACCGAAAACTGGTTGCTATGATGTGCGCGGACCACCAGGGCGTGCGTGCAGAACGTGGCAGGCTTCGGCCACGCGGGATGGTGGAGCAGGTGAGCAGGGGCACCAGACCAAGGCAAGGTGCCAGTTGCTGTCATTGGGGCCAGCCTCTGCTGATTACAGAAAATTATTTGCTCCTGGTGCTGTGGTGCTGTCTGGTGCTCGCACCTGCTGGCCCCGATCGCCCCTCAGGACTTCTCCACCTACCCCTGCTCCTGAGGGGTGATGGGGCCAGCAGCTGCCTCTCGCACCCGATGCTAGTAATGACCTTGCTAACACCCGCTGCCAACTCCTGGTGCCAGCCCCTATCTCTTGGTGCCGTCAGCAGGTGCAAGTGGCGGCTGCTGAACCCGATCGCCCGAGTGCTTCTCCACTGCCCCCTGCTCCTGAGGGGTGATCAGGGCAGCAGCCACTGCTCGCACCCACTGACTGCGCTGGCCCCAATTGCTCCACGCCAGCAGTGGGTGCGAGTGGGGCTGGTGCCATCAGCGGGTAGGAATGGCAGTGGCGGTATCCGGGGACTGGGGACCGGGGGCCTCACTGCCCAGAGTTCTTTTCAAGGTGCACAAATTTGTGCACTGGACCCCTAGTATATTTATAAATAAAACCTCTCCAAAAGAATGTATATAAAACCAGTAACAGTGGCTGCTCCAAGGAGAACAGGTGGGGGTGGGGCTCACAGAATGCTGCACGAAGACTATCTTACTGTTTGCACTTTGTGTACCACCAAGATTTAAAGCCTGTGATTGTTGTAATTTCAAAAACAAATCAGGCCCCTTAGAACATCTGAGGAATTTATGGTTCTAGAACCCGGGGATTACACACGTTCTAGAACGTCAGAGTCAGAACTGCTAAATCCTCAGGAACCTTAATGGTCACTGTCCAAGGACCGTAATCTCTATGACAACAGAGGGGCACTGACAGACACGGGCACCGGAGCGACCCTCTGCCCTGAGAGCCTGGGAGCCTAGGTCTCCGTGGGGCGTTAGGGGCATAAAGTTCTACCACAAGATGTTGGAGTCACAGCCCCTCTAGCACTTTCTGGCCAGTCTTGCTATTTAAAGGGGTGGGGGACCCGTAGCTGATGTTGCTCAGAGGATCGAGCATCGGTCTGCGGACTGAAGGGTCCCCAGCTCGATTCCAGTCAAGGGCACATGCCTGGGTTGTGGGCTTGATCCCCAGTGGGGGCGTGCAGGAGGCAGCTGATTTATGATTCTCTCTCTCATCATTGATGTTTCTATCTCCCTCTCCCTTCCTCTCTGAAATCAATAAAAAATATATAAAAAAATAAATAAATAAAGGGGTGAGGGAGCCCTGGCTGGTGTGGCTCAATTGGTTAGGCATCAATCCATGCACCAAAAGGTTACCACCAATTCAATTCCCAGTGGGGCACATGGTATGTTATGGGCTCAATCCCTGGTAGGGTGTGTGTAGGAGACAGCTAATCAATGTTTCTTCCTCTCTACCCTTCTCCCTTTCTCTCTAAAAATCTATAAAAGCCAAAACCAGTTTGGCTCAGTGGATAGAGCATCAGCCTGCGGACTGAAAGGTCCCAGGTTCAATTCCGGTCAAGGGCATGTACCTTGGTTGCGGGCACATCCCCAGTAGGGGTTGTGCAGGGGGCAGCTGATCGATGATTCTCTCTCATCGATGTTTCTAACTCTCTATCCCTCTCTCTCTACCTCTCTGTAAAAAATCAATAAAATATATTAAAATGAAAAATAAAAATCTATAAAAAACACACACAACACCTTTAAAATAAAAGGGGTGGGGGAAGCAGACCCAGGGCGGGGAATGGCTTGACCTTCTAGAACCACACACTTCCTGCTCAGGCTGAGCTCCCGACCCTCCTCTCCAGGCACAGCTTGAGAGACTGGGAAAAGGACAGGTTGAGACAGGTAAGGGAGGAAGGAAAAACCAAATGAGCAGAGAGGAAGCGAGAGAGTGTGTGCTGGGGGTCTGGCTGCTTTTCCAGCTTCTGATCCTTCCCTGAGCCTGGCTGTGCGTTCCTGCCTCCACGGTCCGTGTGGCGTGCCTGCACCTCGGAAAGGAAGCCCTCTCGGAGGCAGTGGGGCGGGTTCCTGTTGCCCCGGGGGCCTGGCGGGAGGCCATACTCACAGAAGTCGCTGTGCCGGCGCTGGCGGTGATAGGTGGACGAGGAGCTCCGCTGCCCTTTGCTGTGGCTGGTGCCTTTGCCGGAGCTTGTCCCATTGGTGGTGTCGCTGGGAGCCCGCACCCTCGCCAGGGCCAGTGCTGGAGCGCCCCGGTCCCCACCCTCCTGCAGGACAGAAAACGAGCCTCAGCCCATGTTCTCTCTGTCCCAGACATCCCTCCAGCCCGGCACCCGGAATCCCAAACGCCCGGCGCCTCCTGACCTCGGTCTTCCTGCCCAGCAGGAGGTAGGTGGCGGTCACTTCGTTGTACTTCTGGCTGGTCAAGGCCTCTTTGATTTCTTCCCGAGTGTAGCCCATCCCCACCATCACCTCTGAGAGAGGGGGATGGAGAGGAGGCTCAGGCCCTCGGCCCTTCCTCTCCACATCAGCGATGCCCACCCTTTGGCTGCCCAGTGCCCACTCCCCCTTCTGCCAGGAGGACCCTGACTTTTCCTTGGCAGGACATCCTTTCCCACGCGGACCACTCAGCTGAGGCCTGCCTGCCCCAAGCCCGAGGGCAGGACGCTGACCCAGGGCGGCCCCCCCAGGCCCAAACTGCCTGGTTCAGGGGCAGCCAGTGGGCACCAGCCTGGTGCTCTCAGAGGAAATGTAGGAAGTGGCTCTCCTCCTGACGAGGTGCCCAGACCACTAGGCTCTGCTGCTGGCAGCTGGCTCCAGGGGGAAGGCGGCCTGGAAATAAAGCCGCTGCTCAGCAGACTCCCACCGCCTCTGAGCACCTGGGCCAGGGGCTGAGCGTTGCCACACGTGGCCTGCTGAGTCATGTGACTCACCTCACTATCAGGTTAAACCACACTAAACTGCCGGCACCGACCATGTTTAAGCACACAGCGATTTTGTATGCTTCAACCGCTTACCATCATCATCATCTGGTTTAAGCCAGAACGGCTTGGGTTTCTGTTACTTACAACCAGGGAAGCCCTGGTTAAGGACCTTCTGGCGGGGGCCTCAGTTTCCTCGGCTGTAGAATGGAGGGACCCTGGATGGTCCCCAAGGGGCTCTTCCAGGGCTAATGCTTTAGGGGTCAAGGTTCGAAGGTTCTGGGCTGAAGGATGGGGACCGAAGGAGTGGAGGGGAGGCACGAGCCAAAGTAGGGACTTTCCCCGAACACGCAGATTACCGATGGCTGTGCCCAGCTCTCCGGAGTGATCTGTGACATCCTCTGTGTATGTGTGTGTGTGTTTAATATTCTTTTATTGATTTCAGAGAGAAAGGGAGAGAGAGAGATAGAAACGTCAATGATGAGAGAGAATCATGGATCGGTTGCCTCCTACAGGCCACCCACCAGGGATTAAGCCCGCAACCTGGGCATGTGCCCTTGACTGCAATCGAACCCAGGACCTTCAGCCTGCAGGCTGGTTCTCTAGCCGCCGAGCCAAACCAGCTAGGGCCCATCCTTTTGTGTTTCAATAGTCACAGTACTACGTGCTGATGTATGTAATTCTACGTGCTGATGTATGTAATAACACGTGCTGATGTATGTAATAACATGCAAAACCCTAATATGTAAATAGACGGAACATGCCTAATATAAAGTGCAGGCTGTAGATTAACTCAATTAATATTCATAACAACCCCTAAGGTGGTTCTAGGAAAAGGCCATTTTACAGACGAGGAAACAGACACGCTGGGAAGGAAAGCCACTCGCTCAAGCCTCGCAGCCAGGAAGCAGCAGCACAGGGACGGCACCAGACCTCGCTCTCCTGCCTCAAAAAGCCGCTGATGCCCCCCGGAGGGGTGACTGGGAGGCTCCTCCGGGCCCTGTGCCCCGAGTCTGAGGTCTGAGGAGCTGGGCCCGCGCGCCGCCCCTCACCGATCCGCTTGGTGTCCCCAAAGTCCTCCTCCGGCTCCGTGTATGGCTTCAGCTCCTCGCCCTCATAGCCGATGTTGATCCATTTGTCTTTCATGATTTGCTGCAGGAATCGGAGCAGGGCAGGGAAGGAGAAGACACGTCAGGGGAAGCCAGGAACAAATAGAGGTTCCCACCCCCAAGGTCTAGCATCCCAGAATTGAGGGCTTCCTGAGAGTGAGCACCTCTTCACCCCATTCCCCGCCTCCCCCCGCAACATCCCCCAGCCTCCAGATGCCACTCCGCCCCCACATCATCTGGGTCCCAGCACGCTGTCATCATCCGAGAAGCTCATTAGCTAATTACTGGCGGGGCAGGCAGTGGGCGAGGCTGCTGGGGGTGCATCAGGATGGGTCCGGGCGCCTTTTCCGGGGCTGCCTGGCGCCCCCACCCTCCGGCGAGGACCTTAGCGGGCGGGAGGGGGGAGGACAGTGCAGGACAAGAAGGCACCGGAGGGCGCGGCCGGGCTCACCTCCAGAGTACAGCGTTTGGCCGGGTTCAGCACCAAGAACCTCCGCAGGATGCTCTCACAGTCCGTGGACATGTAGAACGGGACCCGGTACTTCCCCCTGAGGACGCGCTCCCGCAGCTCCTGAGGGAGGACGAGCGGGCGGGCGGGGTTACCAGGGGAGGGTCCGCCTGCCTCCCCATCACACACACACTCATCGCTCAGTTCGGCCCGTCCCCGGACAGAGTGCCAGGAGCCCCGAGTCCCGGCCCTGAGGAGGTGGGTGAAGCCCCCCCACTCTCTCCTGACCCCCGTTCCCCATCTGTACGATGGGAGTGTGGTGCCACATGCAGCAATTTTCAAAGAAGTATTACCAGTCTGAAGCTATGACTCATTCAGAGGACACCTGAGGGAGGAAGTGAATTCCCTAAGCCAAGAGGGAAGGCGGCAGGGGGCTGGCCTCCGGGCTCAAACTGTCTGTAAAAGGGATCCCAGCACCCACTTCAGGGGCCGGGGTGAGTGAGTTTATGGCAGAGCAGCCCTATGTAAACAATAGGCTTATACAGGGAAGGGGGAGGGGACTCCTGCCCACGCCTCCAGCCCGCCCTTCCCCGGTCCCTCTGAAGAGCTCGGAGGCCCTGGAGGTCTCAAAGGATGAGCCTCTCAGCTGCTGACCTTTGAAAATGATTTTTGTTTTGTTTTGTTAATCCTCACCTGAGGATATTTTCCCCACTGCTTTTCAGAGTGTGTGTGTGGGGGAGGGGGGGGAGGGAGAAAGAGAGAAACAGATGTGAGAGACACACATCAACTGGTTGCCTCCTACACGTTTCCCAATTGGGGGTGAGGGGAGACAGCGAGGGAACCCACAACCCAGGTACGTGCCCTTGACTGGGAAGTTAGCCCAAGGCCCTTTGGGGCATGGGCCGGCGCTCTAACCAGTGAGCGACACTAGCCAGGGCTAAAATTTGTTTCAACTTATTGACTGATTTTTAAAGAGAGAGGAAGGGAAAGAGAAACAATTTGTTGCTCCTCTTAGTTATGCATCCATGGGTTGATTCTTGTATGCACCTTGACTGGGGATCGAACCCACAACTCTGCACACAGAAACGATGCTCTAAGCAGCTGAGCTACCTGGCCAGGGCCACGCTGACCTTCTTTTTAAGGGCTTGGGATGAGGAGCCCTAAGGCTGCGCAGGAGAAAATAAGTCCCCCGCTCCATGGCAAGGCGGACCAGGGAGAGCCCCTTCCGTCCCGATAAAGAACTGCGGGGAGACATGGGGGAGGGGCGGAGCCATCTGCCGGGGACCGGGCCGGAAGGAGGTGCGTCTGGGCAGCCTCCTGGGTCTGCAGATCGCTCCAGCCCGAAGGGTCGTGAATATTTCATAATCTCTGGGATCGCTTTCAGGCTCTCGCCCGCAACGCAGCCCTCTGAGTGCTTTCCCAATGTCACGTCTGTGCTCCCGGTCATGCTGTGAACAGGGTCATGAGGCCGTGTTCCAGACGAGCAGACTAAGGCCCAGCGACGTGGAGTCACTTGCCTGGGACTGAACGACCAGAACGTGGCAGGTGGGCGGGCTCCGGAGCCTGCCGTGTGACCACTGCCCCACCCTGCCGGTCACATGGCGAGAACAGCCCTCGGGCCACGGCCACCACCACCAGGGCTGCCCGAGCCCGGGGCGGGCTCTGCGCCCAGGGTGGCTGTCATGGGTATTCTTTAAGTCCCCACCTCGAGGTTCAGAAAGGGATGTGTCTCGGTCATTCAGCAGAAAGTGACAAAGCCAGGACCTGTCCCCAGCTGTGTGCCTCCTCTGCCTGGCAAGGAGGTGGCAATGGCCTGGGACAGGTGAGCCACTGGCCTGGTCCCTTGACAAGGCCTTTGGCCTTGGGGTAGCCCAGTGGTTGGAGCGTTGTGGGTTAGATTCCTGGTCAACGGCATGCACCTGGGCTGCAGGTCACTCCTTGCCCATGGAATGGGGCTCACTCCCCGCGTGGTCCATGTGAGAGATGGTTCTCTCTCCCTGCCTCCTCCTCCCCTCCCTCCCACTGTCTCTGAAAAGGCAATGGGAAAAATGTCCTCTGGTGAGGATGCACCAGGAAGAGAAGGAAAGGACTCCTGGCTTCCTGCTCGGGGCAGAAAGCTTATTCGGGGACAGCGAGCTCTTTCCGCCTCGTCTCAGCGGGTGCTCGGGGCGCTGCCACCATAGTCCTCCCTGAATGGAGCTCGGTCCTCCCTGAACGGAGCACAGTCCCCCCTGAACAGAGTGCAGTCCTCCCTGAATGGAGGGCAGTCCTCCCTGAACGGAGGGCAGTCCCCCCTGAACGGAATGCAGTCCCCCCTTGAACGGAATGCGGTCCTCCCTGAACGGAGCGCGATCCTCCCTGAATGGAATGCAGTCCTCCCTGAACAGAGGGCGACAAGCTCAGAGCGGCCGCCCAGCCGAGACCACAGGGAAGGCTCTCCTCCTGCTCTGACGGCCTGTCCTCAGCCAGGGCTTCCCGGCTCCGGCCGCTCCTCCGGCCACGCTGAGCAGGGCCGGGCGTTACTGCTGTGGGACCCCCACCCGGGTCCAATCCAGAGAACACGCGGGCACCCACTGAGGCAGGTTCTGTAAGATAACCAGCCGGAACCGGCCAGCAACGCCACGTGAGGAAGGACATAGAAGGCGGAGGAGCGGGTCCCGACGGAAGGAGACCGAAGAGACAGGACCAGTGAGCCCACGCGGGAGCGAGCCAGGGGGATGCTGGGGCAGAACGGGGCTGCCGAGGATGTTCCCGGGACGACCGGTGAGCTCTGAGCACAGGCCCTGGGTTTGAGGCCGGATTTGCTGAGTGAAGGTGGACGGGAAGAGGCCTGGTCTCAGGAGATACCTGCTGTATGTCACCTTTAGGGATAAAGGGTATCATGCCTGTACTAACTCCCAAATCCCATTAGCAAGGAGGGTGACAATGACGTGCCACGAGTACATACAGATACGCCAAAAGGGCCAAATGCCAGCGAGGGCGCATCTCCTGAAACCTGCCCTCGCCCTGGCACCTCTCTGTGGACGGGCAGCGTTTCAGAATGAACAGTTCAAAGAGGAAAGAAAACCACGGCGCTAAGCTCACCCCACACTCCCGCCGGCATCTGAAGTAACCTATGGCGCGTATTTCTGTGGTTTTCGGCCTGGCTGTGCTGATGGAATGTCAGTCCGTGCGGGCAGGCTTTTTGTGTGTTTCAAGTGCACAATTCAGTGGTTTTCACTACACGCTGAGTTGAGCAATCATCACCACAATCTATTTCAGACCATCTAATCGCCCCGAAAGAAACCGAAACCCTGCTCTCCAACTTCCCCATCCTCCCCTAGACGCAGGCAAGCACTCCTCTGCTTTCTGCTCTGATGGACATTTCGTAAGAGCAGAATCACGCGACGCATGGACTGTTGGGACTGCTTGTCCCACTCAGCGTGTGCGCAAGGCCGGCCCGCGGGGTGGCACGTGCGAAGGCAGTGGCTTCTGCCTCTTGTCCACACGGTATCTGCAACACCCAACGCAGCCTGGCCCAGGGACGATGGGCCACGGAAATGGACCGAGTGAGCCAGGATCTGAACCCCAGCCCGCCAGCTGCAAAGGCCCTGCCTTGACCCCAGACACAGCATGGTCCCTCAGGGATGGCCACGTGGGTCCTGCCTGACCCCGTACTGCCACATGCCCCCAGGCCAGCTGTCCCTCTGCACGGAGCCGTGCCGGACGAGGCCCAGAGAGCCCCTCCCAGGAGAGGAAGGCCCGCCAGCCGCCCAGCACCTTGAGGTTGTGCCCGTCGAAGGGCAGGGAGCCGCTGACGAGGGTGTACAGGATGACGCCCAGGCTCCAGATGTCCACCTCCGGCCCGTCGTACTTCTTGCCCTGGAACAGCTCCGGGGCGGCGTACGGGGGGCTCCCGCAGAACGTGTCCAGCTTCGAGCCCAGCGTGAACTCGTTGCTGAAGCCGAAGTCGGCGATCTTGATGTTGGCCTCGGCGTCCAGCAGGAGGTTCTCGGCCTGGGAGGGCAGGAGAGGGTCCGGGGTGGGCGCGTGCGGTGGACAGGAGCACGGGCGCCGGAGCTGGCCGCCCAGGCTGACTGCGGCCTGGCCCCGCCTCCCTGCGACCTCTCTGGGCCCTGGTTTCCTCGTCCACAGAAGGGGGATCATCACAGTCCCTCCTTCAGAGAAGTGGGTTAATCTGTACAAAAGGCCTAGAGCCATATTTTGTGCCCGCTAAGCGCTATTATTGCCCCCGTGGTCTGCAGAGCTAGGGGTCCTCAGGCCAGCGCCTGTCCTTCTCTGAGCCTCAGTTTACCCAGCAGAAAAAAGTTGAGGACTGACTATTCAAGACCCATAAAATAAAAACAACCTGCCGAAACCGGTTTGGCTCAATGGATAGAGCGTCGGCTTGGGGACTGAAAGGTCCCGGGTTCGATTCCGGTCAAGGGCAGGTACCTTGGTTGCGGGTATATCCTCAGTAGGGGGTGTGCAAGAGGCAGCTGATCGATGACTCTCTCTCATCAATGTTTCTAACTATCTCTCTCCCTTCCTCTCTGTACAAAATTAATAAAATATATTTTAAAAATAAAATAAAATAAAATAAAATAAAATAAAATAAAATAAAATAAAAAATAAATAAAAACAACCACTTTACCTGATACTCACTACGCCCACAGCACACCCGGCGCTGTGGACTGTCATTTACTTTACGAGTGGCTACATGGCACCGGGTTAGAGAGCCCAGATGCCATCTCCGCCACTCCCGCTCTGTGTCCCTTTGGGTGGGTAGCCAGACTCCCCTGTGCCTCAGTTTCCCTGTGTAAGCTGAGGGTAACCACAGCACCTGCCTCCCAGGCGGCTGTGGGGTTGAGCACACAGCACCTACCACAGGGACATAGTCAGCACTCACACTTTTCATACAGTTACGAGGTTTGGTCTGTCTCTTGTAATCGCCATTTCACAGTCGAGGAAACCGAGGCTCAGGGAGACCACCTTGTGTCCACAGCCACAGTGGCGGAGCTGGCACCCGAGAGGCCTAGCCTCCCTCGCTGAGCGTGGAAGGAGCCTCAGCACCTGCCTCTCCCAGCTTTGTGACTAACCTCAGCGCACAGTACCACCTTCAAAAGGCTGCCCGCGTGGCCCGTCCCAACCATGCCCTGCCCTGGCCAGGCCTCCCTACCTCCTGCTGTAGTTTGGTGGCCCCTTCCCCACCTCTGACCCAACTGGTCACAAACACACATCTCAGAGACTCCCCAACCTCAGCCCAGCTCTGAGGGGGCATTGCCCCTGGTGGCGTTTGAAGCTCCGCAGTCCAGCCCTGGGCTGGGCTGGGCTGGGCGTCTCTCTGGTGCACCCATCAGGTCCTGAAATCCCCTTTGGTAGCCACTTCCAGTACCCTCCACCAGGGGGCGCGCCTCCTCCAGGTTCATCTTCACAGGCACCTAAAGGTGCTTCCTCTGAGGGGAAGGGGGACTTCGGGGCAGCAGAGAGAAGGGGCTTTTAGAAACCTCTCCAGCCAGTTGACAGTGGAATTTTATGTTTTTTGAATCTAATAATTTAAAAAATTGGGCTTGTATTTTGTACGTGTTTTCATTTGTATCGTACTGTACAAAAGTACCTGTCCGCACCGGATAGGGAAACGAAGCTGGACCCTTACTGAAGAGCCTTGCGAAGCACTCCCTTACAGCGCAGGGCCTGGCACATAATAGGTTCTCAAGAAATCAGGCAAGCCGCTCTAGTCGAGCTAGACAAACATTTATCTCTCTGGTCTAAGACAGAAGTCCTGACGTGAGGTCCTCTGGGGTGAGAGGTGTGGAACGGGGGCCCCGGGACACAGAGCTACGAGGGGCTGCCCCTCCTCATTCCTGAGTCCCTCCCCCACCGGGCACTAAGCCTTCTTGAGGGTTCTCATACAAGGTCCTTCTCTAACCCAAGGTCCTTCTCTAACCCAAGGATGCCTGGGAGATGAGACCTGGAGGCAGGGTGACTGTAGGGCTTTGAAATCTCAATTCTCAGATTCCCGAATGTTCTGAAGTCTGAGAGCCAAGCTCTGCTCGCCAGTGTCCTTGTCCAGGACGCACGTAACCGCGGCGCCTAGGACACTTTGTTTCTTCCTCTTTGTTTGTTCCTCCTGGCCCCACCCTCCACTCGCTCCCCCATCTGCTGGCCTTGCTTTTGCCACAAAAGGCTTGGGACAAAGGCCAGGGGCCCTGGGTGCTGAGGGAGGAGCCTGAGGAGAAAGGGGGGGCTGTGGTAGAGAGTACAGGCCAAGCCCGGGGACCGGAGAGGGCTGAGCTGGGAGCTGGGGGGGGCGGGGGGAGGCTCACCTTCAGGTCCCTGTGTACAATGTTTTTCTGGTGACAGTAGTGCACAGCCGATACAATCTGGGGGAAGAGGGGGGAAGGTCAGATACTTGAGGCCCCCAAGCCCCCCAGCTTCCCTCAGAGACCCTGTGAGCCCACTCACAACCGAGGCTCCGGACCCCAGGCCCCCCTAGGCCCAGGCCCGGATGCTGCAGCCTCACACCCCGACTCAGTCCCAGCGGGAAGCGCCGGGGACCTGCAGGCTCACACCTCCACTCGGACACCCCGACCCTCACCGGCAGATGGCAGGACGCCCTCCGGGCAGGGACATGGAGCCAGCACATGGGGACGAGCCCCACCTACTTGCACATCTGGACACGTGCCTGCAGCTGGACCTGCGCCCACACACCAGGGCTGGAGCCCCTATGTCCCGGGAGCTGTGTCATGACTGCTGGACGTCACGGGCTGACACTCTCACTTAGGTCCCCCTACCCATCAAACCTCACCCGCTACCGGGCACCCTCACACCTGCATGTCTTTTCCCCAGCACCCTGGCATCCTCGCACCTGCACACCCTCTTACATACACCCCATTGCCACACACACCCCATTGCCACACACCCGGACAGCAACACCTTCTTATATGCACCTGGACGTCCCTACACCATACACTCCTGTTCACCATCCTACATACCCACACCTGGGGCCCCTCACCCATACACCCAGGCTGCCGGGCACCCACATACCTAGTTCTCACACATCTTCAAATCCACACGCCTCCACGCACACCTCGACTCCTGGCACCTCCAGGTCCACACACCTGGGCACACCCTCGCACCCACATACCTGATACCTGCACACCTGGCACCCTCCTGCCTGCCTCTCCCCCCGCTGAACTGGGCACCTGCACACCTACACCTGGGCATCTTCACACCTGGGCGTCTGCACACCCATGGACACCCAACTCTCTGCCTCACCCCCACTGAGACTTCAGCTATCCCCTGACACACACACACACACACACACACACACACACCCGTCATTGGACAACCCAGGCCCACACCCAGCAATCACTCATCCCCAGGGACCCCACCCAGCCCCGCCCACAGCCGAAACCCCAACCTGGCGGAACTTGGCTCGAGCTTCCTTCTCCTTCATGCGGCCGTGTGACACGAGGTAGTCAAATACTTCTCCTGTAGGGCAGAGGCCAGGGGGTGAGGGGGTGTGTGTGTGGAGGGGCGCAGCGAGCGGGGCGGGGCGGGGCGGGGCCTCACCAGCACTTGCATATTCCATCACCAGGTATAGCGTCTTCTCAGTCTCGATCACCTCGAAGAGCTTCACTGCAATGGCGGGGGGTGGGGTGGGGGAGGGTGTTATGCAGGAAGGGACCCCGCCATCCACCCACACTTGTAACTGTGGATGTGCTGAGCCACGACCCCCCTCACTCAAGAACACTCAATGGCTCCCTACTGATGGCAAGATTTTTCCGCTCCTCAGTCTCACGTTACCCCTTTTATATATTCTCTCATAAGCATGTCAGCGCAGCTCCATGAGGCCAGGGATCTGTGCCTGTTTTCTCCACCCCCGTGTCCCCAGCATCTGGCACACAGCGGCCACCAATGGACGTTTACTGAGTGAGAAAGCTAAGGATGAATAAGTGGTGCAGCCACATCCAGGCCAGGCCAAATCCCGCTTCTCAGTAACGAGCCCTCTCTCTTCCCTTTGCCTGACGACCATAACAATGGCTGCTACTGATGACGATAATCAGACCGGCTCCCACAGCTTAGCTCTGAACTAAGATTGTGCACAATCTTATCCAATCCTCACAAGGACCTTGACGAGGGCCCGTGTCACCCCCGCTGCAGGGGAGGACACTGATGCTCGGAGAGGTTCAGTGACTTGGCCAAGGCCACAGAGCCAGCGAGCAGAGAACCGCTGTGAGAAAACAGGTCTAACGTAACCGCCAATCCCGCCACGCCCTGACTCTCCTCTCCCTGAGCCCCCCCCCTCCTCACCGATGTTGGGGTGGTTTAGGCCCTTCATGATGCGAACTTCTCGGAACAGCTGGAAGAAAGGGAGAAGGAGGAGGTGAGTGGTCCTGAGCACCCTCTTCCCAGCCTCACCCCCACGCTGCTCCCCGTCCCGGGCCTCACCTTCTGCAGGCTACTGGGGTTCAGCTGGGTTTTGTCGATGATTTTGATGGCAACCTGGAGGTGAAAGAAGGGGCGAAGGTCAAGGTACCCCAACTCAGGTCACCTGGGATGTCCCTCCTTTAACCCCCTCACTGAGAAACCTCCACCTGGGCCATTCCCAGTGGATAGGGATCTGGGCCTCAGGACCTTTGCACGTGCTGTTCCCGCCGTGCCCAATGCTGCCCTGACTTTCATAAGGAAATACTCCTGACCTGCAGGGAGGCTGGATGGGGCTGCCCCACAGCCTGTGTGAGTGTGACAGAGACTTAAGGGGGACCGCTGTGAGGGCATCTCAGAACACCCATCCATCCCATCTTCGTTTTATTTATTTATTCAAAAATATATATATTTTATTGATTTTTTACAGAGAGGAAGGGGGAAAGAGAGAGAGTTAGAAACATCGATGGGAGTCATCGATCAGCTGCCTCTTGCATGCCCCCTACTGGGGATGTGCCCGCAACTAAGGTACATGCCCTTGACCGGAATCGAACCCGGGACCTTTCAGTCCGCAGGCCGACGCTCTATCCACTGAGCCAAACTGGTTTGGGCCCATCTTCGTTTTAAATGCGCAAACTGGGGAACAGTAACCAGTAACTGAAGCTAACTTTACCAGCCACCACGTGTGCATTAGAAAAGGAAACTCTTCTAGTCCTCACAGAACCCCTGTGAGTGCTGGGATGACCCCCACTTTACAAATGGGGAAACTGAGGCACAGAGCTGTTCAGTTACTTGGCCACGGTTATGCACCTAGTAAGTTTGGAGGCTGGGGTCTGAACGTACGTAGCCTGATGGAGTCTACCTCTGAAACATTTAGAACTATATACTATATGCACGTTTATAACTTTACAAGAACTTTGACCTGTTTGGCTCAGTGGATAGAGCGTCAGCCTGTGGACTGAAAGGTCCTGGGTTCGATTCCGGTCAAGGGCATGTACCTTGGTTGCGGGCACATCCCCAGTAGGGGTGGTGCAGGAGGCAGCTGATCAATAATTCTCTCTCATCGATGTTTCTAGCTCTCTATCCCTCTCCCTTCCTTTCTGTAAAAAAATCAATAAAATATATTAAAAAAAAAAAAAGAACTTTGCGATGGTCATCATGTAGGAGGATCAGATTGTCACTGAGCTCTCCTATATTTATCTTGTAGCTGAGGTTTTATTCTGAGTCACACCTGGGAGAGAGCACCAGGTCCTGCCATAGTGAGGGCCCTTTCAGTCTTACCCAGCTTTACGTCTACAGTTTCATAAAGGGTTTCGGGGCCACCCCAGGCCCCCTGGGTTACAAGTCTTTCCCCGGAGGCCCTGTTCCCTGAGGCCGGTCCTCTGGGAAAGCCCGGAATCGTGTTCAGTTCCACAGGCGGGAACGGCGTGTTCTGTGTGGGGGAGAGGGTCCCTGGCTTCCCTCAGAGTCTCGAACGGGCTTTTAGTTTGTCAAACATCTTGTACGCCAATACGGGGACGATCATATGGCTTCTCGCCTTGAATCCGCGGATGTGGCGAAATCCATGAATAAATTGTGCATCTGCAAAGAACTGCGCATTCCTGGGCTGAGTCCAGCTTTGTCACCACGCGGCTTCCTGACTCCTGTGCCTGTTCGCAGCGAGGCCGGCCGGCACGGGCTTCGCAGCTGCTTTTGCGATGGCGGTGGAACGCACAGGGAACGTTCGCTGGGCAGCGGAAGGACCAGCATACGGCGGGCACGTTGGCTACAATTTGCCCATAAAGCCACTGGGGCCTGGTGTCTTCCGTGCGTGCAGCGTGGACAGTGAAAGGGCAGGAGGGTTCGTCCGAGGCGCGAGAAATCACACCCATCATTTGCTTAAAATGGGAGGCGGTGCAGGGGAGTCCTGCACCCAGCCCCGCCTTTTCTCGCTGAGAGTGAGCTGGAGGCCTCCGACGACCCAGGTTCCCCCGCTGCCCGGGCCCTTTCTGCAAGAATGTTGCCACACTCCGGGGAGGAAGAGAGAGTGTGTACTTGAGAACGCCAAGGAACCTCGTGTCTCCGGATCCCTGGGAGATCCGCTGGAATCCAAGCCCAACGTTCTTTTAAAGCTGTAAACGTGCACACAGTGTATAGTTCTAAATGTTTCAGAGGAAGACTCCGTCAGGCTACATACGTTCAGACCCCAGCCTTCCAACCTACGAGGCGCATAACCTCGGCCAAGTAACTGAACAACTCCGTGCCTCGGTTTCCCCATTTGTAAAAGTGGGGGTCATTAAAACAGGGAGGCGGCCCTGACATTCCTGACAGTCTCGGGGATGCCTGAGATGGGCTCTCTTCTCCTGACCGGGGTTGTTCTGGAAAAGTCTGAGATGTTGTGATCTGACCTGAGGAGAGGCAGAGACTTAAAGGAAAACGAGGGCCCAGCCCCCTGCGCCCCAGCACCCACAAAGCACAGGGGCTGCGGCCTGGGGCCCAGCCGCACCGCCCCCCACCCCCATCCCCTCACTCACCTCCCGGCCCGTGAGGATGTGCCGGGCCAGCTTGACTTTGGCAAAGTTGCCCTTCCCGATGGTCCTCAGCAGGCGGTAGTTGCCCACGTGGGGCTGCTCCTCGGGGCAGGAGGCGATGGAGTTCCGGCAGCGGGCACCCAGGGACCGGCTGGACCAGGACGGCCCCTTGTCCGAGGAGCGGCTACTGCCCAAAGTGCCATGCTGGGGGGGGGGGGGACGGAGCGTGAGCGCTGGGCGGCACCCGCCCCATCCACCCTCAGCGGAACGGGCGCCAGCGTGGTTACCTCCGGCCACGGCCACTCTGCGCGCCCAGGCCAGGGAGAGCGAGCCTCGGGGGGCCTCCCTCTCCCTACAAAAGGAGCCTCCCAGAACAAAGCCTCTTCTCGGCCCTCCCTGTGGCTGGTCTGCCCAGACTTCCCCTGCTCCTGGGACCCCCACCAGCTCTGTGATATCTTATCCCAATGCCGCAGCCCTCACCCCAATCAACGCTGACCTCAGCCTGGTCTCAGCACTCCACCCCACCCTCACTGCCTCCAGCATTGTTTTCCTATCACCGTCCCTATGCCAGCCCCAAATGCTATCCCAAACCCAAGTGTCAATATTTTGTTCCCAGTTTAGCTCCCCTAACCATTTCTTCTGATCTCAAATTCAACTCCAAACACAGTCACCAAGTGTCTTCCCTTCTGCCCTGATGTCGTTCTAGCCCCACTGTTACCTTCCTTAAAAACATTCCAGTTCCCTCCCTCCCCCTCCCCCACAGTATGGTGGCTCCCTTCGAGCCCTGACCCACTGCCTCCCCCACTTCCCTCCTATCTGTCCCGACACTCTGTTCCTGCCGTCCTGCCTCTCCCCCCTGCAGGTCACCCGCGTGCCCAGGCGGCCCTGTCCTGATTGTGAGCCCCGGGGACAGTGCCTCCCTTTCAGGGCTGGGGCCCAGGGTGCAGGCGACAGAGGTAGCCACAGGCCCCAGCCACGCCGACTCTGCTCGGACCCTGTGCCCTGCTCAGAGAGCTGAGGAAGAGGAGGACAGGTGGGTGACCAGATGAGGGCCCGGGGCTGCTCCTTGGAGGACATGTGCCAGGCCACCTAGCAGTGATGATGACCAGTACGTAATGAATGCTGGCCACTAATGCATCATCACCCCATTTTACCCATGGGGAAACTGAGGCCCAGAGCCTGGATCTGAGCCCAGACAGTTCCCCCAGAGTTGATGTTTTTCCCCTTCACTAAAACCTTGCGTCTCACACAGCCCCGCTGTTTTTATTAAGCAGCGTTCCTGGGGCCAAGGCCTGGGCCAGTACACACCTCATCTACGTTAATTCCCAGAGCCCAGGAGGGCCGCGCCTGCATCCTCTTATTCCAGGGGAGAAACTGAGGCTTGGGGAGAGACGGTACCTTGTCAAGGTCACACAAGAAGCAGAAATCTAATGTTCCCCCACACGGGAGCCAGTTAAAGCCCTGGCTCCGAGGTGGGTCCGTTTAGGATCAGAAAGGGACCCCAAGGCCGAGACAGGGTCAGTGTCTTGCCCAAGGTCACAGGGCAGGGGGAGCAGAGCACCTGGGATCCAAACCCGGGCCTGCGGACTCCTGGGTGCTGAGCTCTTTCCCACATCCCACTGGGCTGCTCCCAGCCGGGGCCTCCTCCTGGGGGAGGCAGGAAGGAAAGTGGAGATCCCCGCTGGTAAGGCCCTGATCCCCGCCGAGATAACAGCTTGGAGAAGAATCCCCATCAGGTGGCACCCGGGGAGCCAACGGGGTGTGGGCTGGCACCCCACTGCAGGCAGTGCGGCTGAGGGACCCCTGCAAGGGGCAGCTGGGGCAGTGGGTGACGGAGCCCCCAGGGGCCGGGGGCGGGAGCTAAAATTGGCTGGCACCACCAGCTGGCCCGGCTCCCTCCCGCCGGCTGGCGCCCCAACACTGGGGCTGTTGCTAGGGAACCTCCAGAGAGGCTGGGGGGTGGAGGGCCTGGAACTTGGGATGGGGTAGCATGACCCCACATGGCTATGAACATGGTAAACCCGTGGCAGGAGAGGGCACTGCAACCTCAGATTCCAGAGGGAGAGACGTGACCCTGGCCAGGACTGACAAGAAGGGAAGAGAGGAGAGAAGGAGATTGGATTTCCCCAAATCCCCCCTGTGCATAGATCTGAACAATAAAAGGAGGAAGCACTCAGATGAGGCCCATTTCACAGATGAATAAATAGGTTCAGAGAGGTGAGGTCACTTGCTTGAGCTCACACAGTTAGGGAGGGATAGAAACTAGATTTGAACCCATGCTTATCTAAATAATCAAAGTAATAATAATAATTAATAACAGCAGCTATAACCTTGACCCTGTCCATTTTACTTACATAATCTCCTTGGCTCCTTAAAACATCTCTAAAGGAAGGTGCTATCATCAACCCCATAGAGACATAAAGAAACTAAGACTTGCCCTGGCTGGTTTGGGTCAATGGATAGAGTGTGGGCCTGGGGACTAAAAGGTCCTGAGTTCAATACCAATCAAGGGCACATGCTCAGGTTATGGGCTCAATTCCCAGTCGGGGGCATGCAGGAGGCAGCCGATCAATGATTCTCTCTCATCGTTGATGTTTCTATCTCTTTTCCTTTCCCTTCCTCTCTGAAATCAATAAAAAATATATTAAAAAAAAAAAAAGTAACTGAGGCTCAGCCCTTGCCAGGTATTCAGTTGAATAGAGCGTTTTCCTGATATGCCAAGGTTGTAGGTTGTAGGTTCAATCCCCGGTCAGGGTGCGTTCATTTGCAACCAACAAATGCAAGACTAAGTGGGACAGCAAATAGATGTTTCTCTTCTCCTCTTTCAGATCAATCAATAAGAATTTAGAAATATGTAAATCACAGAAGCGGAGGCTCCGGGCAGGGAGTGGATCTGTGAGCTCACGCGCAGGGCTGGGAACCCACGGCCATCTGACTCATCCCCACAATCACAATAGTGGGAGCACGTGCGGAGCGGGTCCTGTGTGCCGGGCTTTACCCGTGTCACCCCAGTAATCCTCTGACTCAAGAGATCACCCCCACTTCCCGGGGCAGCCAACTGAGTCTCCCTGAGAGAGGGAGAAGCAGGAGTTGAGGACACAGGCACACCAGCAGGCAGGGCCAGTGTTCGAACCCAGGCCTGTGGGCCCCCTGGCACTTTTTGTTGTGACTGGGGGTGGGCTGAGGGGGGGAGGGGTATCTCATGGGAGATTCCAAATCAGAGTCTGGCCTATGGGATGGCGGGTGGCAGTGGTGGCGGCCATCTCGGTGAGGGAGGGTCCGGCAGGGTGCAGCAGCAGAGAAAACCTGTCTGGCGGGGACCAGGAATGAGAGGGGCTGGGGGGAGCAGGGACCTGTCAGTCGGCTTGGGGGAAAGGGACAAAAACCCCAGATGGCGGAGTCTGGCACTGGTTGGAGGGAGGGTCTTTAGAAGGGCAAGCGAAAGCCAGGGAAATGGGGAGGAGGGTATCTCCAGGATTGCTCTGGGCTGTGACAGGGGGCCTGGGGGAGATAGGAAGGGTGCAGGCTATGGGGCAGGGGCAGTGAGGGGCCATGAGGGGCCAAAGACCCCTTGGCCAGGGGCCGGCGTCTTGAGGAAACTCCGAGAAGTCCAAGAAGGGTTTTGTAGGAGCAAGGTCTGGGGTCTGCAAGTCCTGGGCAAGAGGGGGCAAGGCTGAGCCTGGGGGGGCCAGTGGGCCTAGAAACTTGAGGAGAAAGGCTTCCTGAAGACACAACAAGAGAGCTGAGAACCAGGGCCAGGCCAGAGGCTTGGAGGCCAGGAGACTTCTGGAAGGAGGGCCTGGGGTCAGGCCGTGGGAGCTGGGGAGACGGTTTTCCTGCGAGGCCAGACCCCCACGGGGAAGAGGCCCTGAGGCAGGAGAAGGTTAGCGGCCTGGAGATCCAGGGAAGAGATGGTGTCCGGTAGGAAGGGCCTGGAGTAAGGGGGACCCAGGGACTGGGGGCCCGCCTGAAGCGGAGGAGCTGGCAGAGGGAGAGTGAGGCCTGGAGTCGGTCTGGTCCGGGGCCTAGAGATCCGGGGCTGGGCTGGGGGCCTGGAAGTTGGAGGCCAAGGCTTCCTGGGGGAGGAAGAGACCAGAGGGCCCGGGGGCTGGGAAGCCAGGGGCAGGGCTGCCTGGAGGATGGGCCCAGGCCTGGGAGTGGAGAGACCTTGAACAAGCTGGGAAGGGCCCTGGGCCCAGGAAAGGTGGAAACCGGCTTCCTGTGAGGGGGTGCCCGCAGGAGCCAGGAAAGGCGGAGGGCAGGGAAAGAGAGGAGGGGGGCTCCTGGGGAGTCCGGGACGCAGATCCGGCCGGAAAGGCCGGAGCCAGAGGCAGGACCGGGCCCGGCCTTCCTGCGACAGGACCCGGCAGGGCTGGGCCCGGGGTCAGGAGCCTGCAAATCCGGGAGGGGGCTCGGGGGTCGGAGGAGGGCGGCCCGGAGGGGAAGAAGAGGCTCGGGACGCGCCGGGAAGGGGGGGGGGGGGGGGCTCCCGCAGCAGGGGAGGGGGCTCCCGGAGGAGAGAGACCCGGCGGGAGGGATCTGCAGGGGGGCCGGGGTCCCGGGAGAGGGGCGCCCCAGGGGTCGGGCAGGGCTGAGGGGGGGGGGGTCCAAAGTCCGGGAAGTGCGGCGGGGGTCGCAGGCGGCGCGCAGGCAGGGAGAGGGGAGAGGGTGAGGCTCGCGGGACCAGGGGCTCCGCGGGCGAGGGGCCGGCGGCCAGCCCCGCCGGGCTCCCCCGGGGGCCGGCCCTCACTCACCGTGTCCGAGTTCCGATCGTTGCCCGGGGCCAGCGCCGTCCGCGAAGACATTTTCTCCGGGTCCCGGGGGACGGGGCGGCCGGGTGGGGGGGGCAGGGGTGCCGGGGACCCCTCCTCCCCTCCCCCCCCGCCGGCCTGAGGGCACGAGCTCCGAAGCTGGGTGCCGCGAGCGCCCGGGTCCCCGCGGCGGAGAGGGCGCAGGCGGGGGCCGCGGGCGCCGGGGGTCCTAGTGGCCCCGCGCGGAGGGGGCCCGGGGCGCCATCGGGGCGGCGGGCGGCGGCGGGCGGGGGCCGGGGAGGGGGCGCGGAGCCGGCGGGGCGGCGGCGGCGGCGGCGGGGCCGGAGGAAGGGACGTCAGGGGGAGGGGAGGGGCGTGGCCGTCGAGGCTCCGCCCCCGGCGCCGCCCTTAAAGGCGCAGGTCGCGGCAGCCGCGGGCTCCGGGGGCGGAGGCAGGTCTGAGCCCGTCGGTGCGGAGCGTGTTCTCACGGGAGCGGAGCGGCTCCCCGGAAGGGAAGGGAGCGGTGCCGGGGCGGCGCGCCAGGGACGCAGAGGAGGAGGACGCGCAGAGGAAGACACAGAAAGAGACCAGAGAAAGGGAGAGGGAGACATAGGGAAGGAGAGGCGCACACACAAAGAGACACAGAGACAAAGGCTGAGACCCGCCCGCGGAGACAGGGAGAGACAGGAGGGGACAAAGAGATGATGCGCGGGCACGGGAAGCCTCGTGCAGGGATGGAGGTCCCGGGAAGAGGCAGGAGCCCCCGAGGCAGGAGCCAGGCGGATGGCGCGGCCCGCCTTCTCCCTCCCGCCGGGTCCGGGGCCCCAGGAAGCTCTCGGGGGACTTGGGGCTCCAGGGTCCGGGGAGACGATGTTCTGGGCGGGGCCCCTGCCCGGAGTGACCCCAGGCCACCAGGTTTGGGGCGTGGGGGGCGCAGTCTCCTCTCCTCTGCGCACCTCCAGGGTCCGGGACGCTCTCTGTCCTCCAGGGCAGGCATCTGCCTGTTCGGGCCTGGGTTTCCCGTCTGCATAGTGACCGCGTGTTGCCTTCCTGGCAGGGCCGAGGCGCAGACGCTCTCCTGAAGGATGAACTGAACCCACAGCCGGTGAGGACCAGCCATGACCTCTGGACCAGAATGGGATGGGAGGAAGAGGGCCGCGCAACGTCCTGGCTGCAGAATCACACAGCCCTGGAGGGGAGTCCCCGCCCCGCCCCTATCTAACCTTCTTCTTGCACCTCAGTTTTCCTTTCTAAAGAATGGGTGTGATGATAACCGCGCTATGAGGGAGCTGGCTCAAGCGAGCTGACTGTTCACGTCGCAGGAATTTTGGAAGTGGTTGTTAAATAGTCATTATTAAAAACGAAATTGTGCAAACGTACAATTAAAGTGTATGTAAAACAAAGGTAATAAATACTCGTCGCACCCTAATTGTTTTACTAGTATGATGATCTGTGATCCTGAGGTCACTTACATCGATTGCATCTGCATAGTGAAAGTGCTGTACAATGAACCACTGAGCATCTGGTCCCCTCCAACAAATACACACTGGCAGTTATGGCACCTGGAAGTCAGCCATGGTGGGGACATTTACACCATGGAAATTGGCAAATGCTACAAACTGAGACTCCCTACCACCACCTGCTAAGAGCTGCTTGTTTGTTTTAAAATATATTTTATCGATTTTTGTTCAAATATATTTTATTGATTTTGTACAGAGAGGAAGGGAGAGAGAGAGTTAGAAACATCGATGAGAGAGAAACATTAATCAGCTGCCTCCTGCACACCCCCCACTGGGGATGTGCCCACAACCAAGGTACATGCCCTTGACCGGAATCGAACCTGGGACCTGCAGGCTGATGCTCTAGCCACTGAGCCAAACCAGTTAGGGCAGGACTTCGTGTTAAACATTTACCAGCCTATCCCTGGTGGATACTATCAGCTCCATAGACTCATAGAGGCTTCCTCCATGCCAGGCTCTGCGGTCTTTATCCTTTCTGCACCCCATGAGGCTGAACCATCATTGTGAACCCCGTTTACAGATGTGGGAACGAAGGCCCAAGGGGAAAAAGCAGATGCCCATCACACAGCTGGTCAGTTGCAGGGCTGGGACTTGAACCCAAGCGCCTCCAAACTCCAGAACGGGGGCTCTTAACCACTGTGGCTTACTGTCCTCGAATAACAACATTGCAGCCTCCGTCTGCGATAAATTAATGAGACTCTGTAAGTAAAGTGCTTCGCCTGGGAAGCAAAGAGACCTTCATCAGTGAGCGACATTACTATTATTATTCAGCAAAGAGGGCCCGAGGAGTCTCAGGGATGGAGGGAAGCGGAGAGGGAAGGGTTCAGGATTGTTTAGAAGATTTGAGATCACAAGGGCTCTGCTCAGTGAGAAGTGGAGACTTGCTAATGGGTTGGGGGAGCTGAGTCACTCCTAATCCCTTCCCAAACTTGGCACAGGGAGCTGCAGTTCTTCCATGCACCACACGGGGGCAGAAGATCACCTTCCTACACACGCAAGGTCCCCCACCCTGGCTCCTCACCCGAGGATATTTTCCCACTGATTTTTAGAGAGATTGGAAGAGAGAGGGGGAAAAATGTATCTGGAATTAGATTGTGGTGATAGTTGCCATAACTTTGAGAATATACTAAGACCCACTGACTTGTACACTTTAAAAGTTGAATTTATGGCATGTGAATGATATCAATAAAAATTAAATTTGAAAAAGTGAGAGGGAGGTCTCACAGTGATCACCGCGCCTAACAGGCCGTTGGTCCCAGCCTGGGCCTCCCTCCTCTCATCACCACAGGCCCAAGGCTGCTTCCCCTCCTGAACACCCAAAGAGCATCCACTGATGAACCAGGAAGCCAAGGTTTGATTCCTGGGCAGAGCACGTGGAGGGTTGTGGGCTCAACCCCCAGTAGGGGGCGTGCAGAAGGCAGCCGGTCAATGATTCTCTCTCATCATTGATTTTTTTTTTTTTCCTCTGGCAAACCCAGTTGGACAGAGGCCTGCAGACTTTGGAAACTGGACGCCTGGCCTGCTTCTCCCAGCCGCTTGTCTCCGGGGCCCTCCCGGCTGGGGCTGGGAGAGGAGCAGAGACCTTGAGCCCAGCTCCTGACCATAATGCTGATCCCAACCCCAACGTTGCCTCGGCACCTGGGACGCTGTGCCTGGGCCCCCCAAAGGCCACTTAAGCCTAAAGCCCACCCTTAAAAGTACCCTAATCCTGTATCTAACCTCACCCAACACCCAACTCACCCCCAACCCCTACTGCACCTGCCACCCCAGCCTCGGCCTCCACTCCGACTTATTCCCATCTGTGAGCCCGGCTAACTCATTTGGACGGAGCACCTACTCTGTGCCGGGCGCACGTCTGGGTTGCGCAGAGCTGAACCCCAGAATCGCTGCTTTGAGTTTACATTCCAGCAGGAGAGGCAGAGAAGCCACAGGGGAGTCTAACTGGCTCCGACCTTGACCTCGGGAGGCGCGATGAAGGAATCAGCCAGCCAGAGCCGTGCCCCCGGTTGGGGGGGTGAGGGGGTTGTGCCGGACAACAGAAGTGCTTTGGCTGTTGGGGCCTGTCTCCTCGGAGGAAGGGACGCAGGAGCGGAGAGCAGGATGACGACAAAGGAGGGGCCGCGCGGAGCCCGAGGACAGGGGCTTTGGCGGGTGAGGTTAGATGCAGGATTAGGGGTACTTTTAAGGGCTGGGCTTTAGGCTTAGGTGGCCTTTGGGGGGCCCATTCCTAACGCTGTGCCAGGGCCAGCATGCAGGCCTCCAGTCCCGGCCTCTGGGCCCAGCAGAACCTTCCTCCTTGCCTTCGCCCCACAGCAGGAAGCCCAGAGCGAGCACTGGGCCCCCGTCCAGCAGGGGGCGTCTCCCCGGGCGCCCAGGATGGTGTTGTCACCTTGGGAGGCGTGAAGAGCAGGCAGGGAGGGGGGGTCCCATTCCGGCGGGGCCGGGGGAGGGTGGGGGCCAGACCGCAGACTGGCCTAAAAGGGCAGACAGATAACAGTCCTTCCCACCCCTGGCCCCAGGGAGGGAGGGGTTTCCTGACAGGAAATTGACCTCCTCTAACCCCCCCTCCTCAGATCCAAGCTCTTAGCAGTCTTGGCTGAAGTCGCTCAGGACAGGACAGGACAGCAGCAGGGACAGAGGGACACGGCTCCGAGGACAGAGGTGAGCGCGCTGGGGAGCTGGGGGGCTAGGGCAGGGGTAGGGCGCGAGGCCCTCCAGGAATCCAGACCAGGGTTCGGGAGAAGATGTGTTCTGAGGCCAGGAGAAGCGGGGCAAAGGGAGAAGCTGGAGGCTGGTCTCCGCAGGGTGCCAGTGAGCAAGCGAGCGGGCAGGGGGAGACGGATGGAGCAGCAGGAGGGTGCAGGGGAGCCTGGGGGTGCAGAGTCTGCAAGGCAGTGGAGGACTTGGAACCGAGCGAGCGAGCGAGCGAGCGAGAAGAGGTGAGGGGATATGGCCCGGTCTGCCTTCCCGTGTTCAGGTGGGAAGGCTGAGGCCAGGGAGGGAGCGAGTTTCGCTCTATCCCTAAAGGATGGTCCAGGAGATGGGAGCGGGGACTCGGGTTGGGATGGAGACGGAGCGGGAGAGGTGATGGGGGGTTGGGTGTGAAGATGTGCGTGACCTTGATCCAGGCTGAGCTGGTGGGGGCAGCGTTGGGGACAAGACTGCCCGGGGCTGCGTTGGTTGGGGTCGGGCTTGGACCAAACCTGTAAGGAAGGCCGTTTCTCTGGTGCAGGCCCCAGGGCAGGAGGCGGCTGGTGGAGGGTTTGGGTCTTTGGGGGAAAGGCTGGCAGCGAGGAAGAGGAGGAGGAGCCCAAAGAGGGAAGCTCTGGTGGCCAAGACATCCTGCAGGCGGGCGCCGGGGCTGGGGGCTTGGGGTTGCCTCGGAAGTGAGTCAGGGGCCTGGCACCGGGAGGCCGACGGGGGCCGAGGGCAGGATGTGGGAACCAGCTCGCAGAGGGGGCTGGAGCCAGGAAGGGGAAAGGCGTCGGGCGAGTTTTGGGAAAATGTGGCGGCCAGGGCTGAGGATGTGGGTTC